TTGTCAATATGGCCTGCCACTCAAACTGTTCATCACCTCCCATCATATGTGTCAGCCTGTGCTTCATGAATAGACAATGACAGGCAGTGTGTGGGATGTCCCTTTTGATGAATCTGGACTTGTCTTCACTTAGCAACAGCTTATTACTGCCAGAGTAAAAAGGGCTGAAAATACATCATAATCTATTTTATGACAATTGTTGTTTTGGCAAGGCTGCTGACTAACCACCCCCTGGATTAAATGGTTCTTAGAGTGAAAAGACTGGTAAATCTATGGATAAAGACAAGGTGCAAAATACCCTCTGTTTACGATATTACAAGAATAAAACAAAAATATAACTTGTATTCCGACTTTGCTCTGTACTTTGTTGAAGCACCTTTGGCAACAATTATTGCATATGATGCAACGAGCTTTATATGCAAGAATGCACACCTATTTTGGGGCAGAACCTCTCAAACTCCATGTGGCTGGATGGGGAACAGCAGTGCACAGCCATTTTCAGATCTTTCACGAGATGTTCAATCAGGTTCAAGTCTGGGCTCTGGTTCTGATAGGACATTCACAGAGTGGTCTTGAAGCCACTCCTTTATTATCTTAGCTGTGTGCTTAGGCTTGTTGTACTGTTGGGAGATGGGGTATTCTGGAGCAGGTTATCATCAAGCATGTACATTCCTCCACCCATCTTTCCCTCTACCCTGACTCAACCCTCCCACTTTTTGCTGCCAAAAAGATATCCCCACAGCATAATGCTGCCACCACCATGCTTCACTACAGGGATGATTTTGGCCAGGTGATGAGTGGTGCCTGGTTTCCTCCAGACATGACACTCAGCATTCACTCCAAGGTGTTCATTCTTTGTCTCAGACCACAAGATTTCATTTCTCATGGTCGAGTCCTTCAGATGCCTTCTGGTAAAGTCCACACAGGGTGTGTTTTTTATTGAGTCCTCTCTACAATACAAGCCTGGAAGAGACCTAGTGGTTCCAAATTTCTTCCATTTGATGATGGAGGATGGAGGCCACTGTGCTTATTGGGTCCTTCAGTGCCACAGGAATTTTTCTGTTCCCTTCCTTGCTTTGACAGGGACTGTCGAGTATGAGACCTTACATAGACAGGTGTGTTCTATGTCCAATCTCATGTCCAATCAACTGAGCATCCTACAGATGGACTGTGAATACTTATGTACTGTTTGTTAATGTTTTTTTTTTGTTTTTTTTTTAAAGATTTGCAAGAAATTCAAACAAACTTTCTACACATTGTCATTTTGGGGTATTGAGAATGGAATATTGAGGTAAAATGAACTGAATCCATTTTGGAATAAGGCTGTAACATGATGAAACAAGTGAAGCATTCACTGGATTATCAGCAAGGGTTCTGCATCATTTTCTGTGAACAAGTGGATGATTTCTGGGAAGAAACACCGTGGATGAGTTTTTCAAAATCATTTTTTTGGCCTTTGAGCACCACAAGGTCATCTAGTTCATTGTCTTTAAGAGAAAAAACTGTACATATGCTCTCCAAAATACACCAATCAATAATAATCCCTCTCAATAATAATACATTTGAAATAGTATTTTTCCATCTCTACTTGACAATGGTCAAGTAGACACTAAAAAAGCAGTTTGGGAACAGGGCCAGTGTATTTTCTTATTCTGATTCTACAGTCATCAACTCAGTATAGCAATTTGTGTTTTTAATTCAGTTCCCTTTTTTTGTTTTTTTTGTTTTCAGCTTAGTACTCATACATGTTGTGTACTTTCTGTAGCAGCCATATAAAGTATGGCTATGTCTATAAACTAGTTTAGATCTATTAGGCCTGTGTTACATACACCACATACTTTTAACTAACTAACTGTCATTCAAATTCAGGTAGCTGCACAGATAAAATGTTAAGAGGGCACAGGAAGCTAATGCTGTGGATGAATCAGCATTCTGAGAAATTCCAAAATTGCAGCTATGACTTAGCGACACAGCTAAATAGAACATAATTAGTGCTATGTGTTGCACCTGTGCCTTTTCTTATACTTACAGAGAAAAACAGTGCAGAAGGTCTGCTACGAGTGTTAATGTGTGTTTAATTTTATTTTTTGTCAGCACTGCATCAATTATATGGAGTGCAATAAAGTAGTGAAAAAAAACCCCTCAATATTTTCACAGGTGCAGGTCGAAGTAATTACAGGGTTTTGAAATACTTTGGTTTAATTGTATTCAGAAATTTGATGGGAGAAGTGCATACAATACACAGCTAATGTGTTTTATATGCAAATGTTGTTTAGTTGTGTTACATATTACACATTACACTACAATTAGGATATGCGGAAGATACTGCTGCTCATATTCTTTCGACCTATCTAACTTTCTTCTGTTGGTTGGCTGGCTTGAAAACACTGACTCTACCTCAGTCTCAAAAGTTGGTGTGACTGACCAGGGCAAAGGTTAATAGTTTTTGCTTGGTCTACCTCTATGTCAAAGCAGTGCTTTTTGCTTCTGCATTAACTTTGAGATAGGTGTCTTCTGAGAGGGGATATTTGATTGGCTGAATGCTATCCCTGACCTGTTTAACTGAGAATGATCTTCAGTGTGATGTAAAATGGAAACAAGACTCAATACTCTGTAAACACGGATAGCCCCAAGTGACCCTCGTACTGCCCACTCTCTGTTATTTATGTACTTTGTCAGATGCAGCTTATAAAGTGAAAGACTAATTACAGCAGCTTAGAGAGCCAGTGCTGCTGCTTTGGGATACTACTTTCAGTACCCCAGTTCTACTGTTTCATGATAATTTGACCAAAAACAAATTAACTTGTGACATAACCTTGATGTAAACATGGTATGAAATAATAGCTTACAAGGCAATAATATATTCTATTAAAAGATAAACAAATTAAGGGGTGTTTAGTAATGGATTACATGTAATCACAATTATATAACCCAAACACAAAAAAAAGTAAACATAATTAGCCTGAATTAGATTTGCAAGATGTGAGACCAGGTTATAGTTACAGTACTTGATTGTATTTTGATTACTTAATAAGTAAGTAAAGTTTATTTAGATATTGTTTTTCACAGTCAAAGCACTGTACAACTGAAATTACAAAAGAATGTCGACAGAAGGAATGATTAAATAGAAAAGGTTTTAGCAGTTTTTTAAAGAGTCCACAGTCAGCTAAACTGAACTGATGCGGTCAGCTGTTACAGAGTCTTGGTTCTTTATATATATTATGTATTCTTTCAAAAATGACAATTTGATATGGAATCCATTGTTTGCTATTTTTAAGGGATTTATTTTTATTTATTTATTTATTTATTTATTTTTTACCAACTTTAAGTATCTAGATCAGGATATATGATTTTAAGTTAAAAATTGTATTTATAATTTTTATGTTTAATAATTTGGCAACATTTTAAACATATGTTTAAACAGGAGAATGACAAAAACACTTACATAACACTAAATGATGGCCGGGTCTTTTTTCTTCAACAACTGGGCTTTTTTTAAAAGACAAAAATATGAATACATGAACACAGCTGAACCTTTTGTGGCAAACTGTGATTATTCCTGACACATATTTTGATAAAGAATTTATTGCGATCAAATTCAGAAGCAGCACAACTTCTGCTGTAATTCTATGTGCATGAAAGCAGAATAATAGCTAAGAAGGATTTAGAAGGGAGAAGGAGAAGTGTTAGAGTTTGTATTGTTGATTGTTATTTATGCTTCGAAATGTTTAACCATAGATGCTTAGAGGTGTATAATCAATTGTGTAGTGATAAGTTGTGTGATCTTTAACAGGCTACAGAGGCTTGGTGTGCATTCCACACTAGAATGCACACCTACATCCTGGGAGCACGGGAAGAGGTCGCATCTTGTTTTAATTGTTTTATGGTAGGATTAACGTAGCTACGTCTGTTCTAGTCTAAGTGCTTTTCTGTTTAGATGAACTGCTGGACTTCCTCACCGGGGGGGGAGGGTCTAGTCTACCCTCTTCCTGACCAAGGATGTTTGACCCTTTGATCAGCAACACACACACACACACACACACACACACACACACACACACACACACACACACACACACACACACACACACACACACAGGCAAGGTACTCTTTGTTTGTATGTAGCCGTCGTATGTTAATGAACCTATGCATATTCATGTAACCTCAATAAAAGGACAGTGTTACGGGAGGACGGACGAGAGCTACTGGGGTCAAGCGAAGGGACGGCGCTCTGTCCAGTCTCTCCCGTGCACGAGTACCATGAAGAAGTTTGCCTACTTGCGTCTTGCTTGCAGTGTAATTATATTGTCTTAACGTTCCAGCGAATAGGTTCAAGCTACAAACCTATCAAGAAGGAGGTCTGCCATTAGGAAGTTTTCCCTCAAAGTCTAAATAGTAAGCAAGTTGTTAGATGTTGCTACTTTTCTAGACAATTCTAGGTAATTTTGCCTGCCCTTATTGTGTTAGTATAGATTTTTCTAACATAGTCTACATCATATTTATTCCTAAAATTATTCCCAAACTTAGGAATGGCATGTTTTAAATATATGGAAAGACTTGAAAGAGGGCAGAATTCTTCCTGAAACAGATATGAGCAGTTAAAAACCGGGAGTTGATAAAGTAATATGAATTGTTTTTCCTTGTCATGCACATATTTCAGCAGGCTATTTCTCAAACAAACAAACAAAAAAAACCCCACAAGACACAAAAGCATCAATCAGGCAGGATGCACTCTGACACCAGAGCACAGTAGATGTTTTCTATAGGCTATGTATCTTGACTCACTAGCAGTAATATTAAATAAGAAATATTCAGGATAAGTTTTTGAAAAAGGGTAAGGAGACCCATGTAAATTCCCGATTATTATTAAGTCTTATTACTTAGAAAAACCCACGTTGACTTAATTAAACACCACCGAAGCGGGAAACGTGTTCTCATTTCCTTGCACAGTGCTTATTAGCGACACCGGAAGTGAGTGTAACCAAGCAACGCCCGTTGTTGCCGTGGTAACAGTGTTGCCCTCGGGGAAGTTTGTAGCTGCAGAGGTGAAGAGCTATTCTGTACGAGAAACGAATCTAGGCTATAACTTAGCTGTAGCAGTTGAATTCACATATTTATTTTAATCATTCATAAATAATACGAGTTTTCTTTTGTTTTGTTTTGTCAGGTGTGCTTTAACTGCCATCTTCAATAAACGTTAGCTAGATGGAGCAGGATTTGGCCGAGGGTAAAATCATCCGCTCTCATAAACAGAACACAAGCGAAAAATGGATGTTTCTCACCCCTATGGTAAATACCGTTTTTAATAATTTTACGGACGCTTTCCAAACACTACTTAAAGTGTCGATACACGGTTATGTCTGAGCATATTTGCCTGTGTCTTATTAGATAAACACTGTTCAATATTTCTGTAGATCAACAGCTGCAAGTTGCACCTCACGACTGTGAAATCTCTCGTGCCAGCGAGAGCACAAGCGATGGTGAGTCATTAAAAGAGCACACTGGAATAGTAATGGCTATGTAGTGCTTATAGTTTTCAAGGCGTTTAGAGGTTGGTCTCTTTATCTTTTTTCAGAGTGAATCTCAAGATCATGTAAAAGAAACATTTAACCACTCTGACCTAGGTAGGTTTGACCCACTTAACTCATTCAAGTACTCACCACCCAAGAGGATTTTGTGTGATTCAGCAGCATATTTGCATATATTAATTACTGGGCGTGGCTGTGGTTCTCAAACTTTCTCTGGAGATGCCCTGCTTCAGAAGACAATAAAGGTCATCTGACATGCTACAGTTTTAAAATAAATCATCAACAATAGTAAGTATCTATTTTGGATTATAGAGAAATAAAAGTCATCATAATAGTCTCAGGAAAAATCTGTTTTGTGCATTTTCCCTTCAGAGTCATATTAATTTAACCAAAGTTTACATCACACATTTCTCTGGTTGTCCACAGCCCACTTGCAGTGGCTTAAAGTCTAATCAGTGGGGCCTGCTCCGCAGTTTTAGAACCACTGACATGCAACTGCTGTGTAAAAATGTTTTCTTTGCACTTATTTACTATATTTTATCTTTCGTAGAAAACAGTTTACATGCAGGCATCCAGAAAAGAGTTGTACAGGAACTATTTGCAAGTGACAAATGTACATATAATCAAAAAGTGCTGCTCAGTGGAGCTGCCGTTTCAAATGCTGCATACAAAGCAAGACACACAGCAAGGAGACAAACCCAGTGTACGGGGGAAACTTTTGGCCATGCCTTAAAAAATGCAAAACCTGCAGGTACTATTCAATTAAAAAATGATAGAATTAAGATAACCTTTGCATGCACAGTTTTGTAGACATATTTTATGTTGTGCACTTTGCTTTTAAGTGTACCCTGATTTCAGTTTGTGATATCTATTTCAGGTGATTTTCCTGGATGTAATTACAGTGCTGTGCCTGGTTTTCTCTCCACTCAATTGCCTTTCACATCCAGTTTTCAACGAATTGACTTGGAAAGGTACCCTTTATCTGCCTATGTAGTCTATATTATCTGTAAAGTGTATGTGTTGTAGTACAGAGTTGTAGTACATTGCTGTCTAGCTTAAAGTCACTGTAAGCTGGAACTATCTTTAACATGTCACATGTATCAGCTGTTCTTTGAATCTTTTACCTGCAAAGGCATTCATATTCTTCTGACATGCTTATGCCACTGAATTTTATTAACTCATTCTGACCTTCACAGTCATCATTTGCTGTAGGAACCATGAGACTAACTAAAATGGCAAAGGCTTAAGATTGCCACAAGGGAGCAGCAGAGTCTCTTTAAATAACTAACCAGTATCTCCAGATAAAATGGCAGTAATTCTGACTAAATATTCTACTGACAGACTGAGCAGAAATCACTTAGTTAATATGTATATTGAAAAACTGATCTAGTTATTTGAATCATTAACCTGAGCTGACAATATTTGTTTCATTAATTCTGTTACAAAAATGTATAGATTTTATTTAAAGTCTAAATCTTGTGATATGTTTTCCCCCCCCAATACTTTAGACAATCTCTGGAGGAATGCCCACAGTTGGACTTTGTAAAAGAACTGCAGTTTCTCAACCTTCAGCACAATCTAATTACAAAGATCCAAAATTTGTCACATTTGCAGCAGCTGGTTTTACTGAATTTGCATGACAATCACATCAGTGACATGGCTGGCATTGAAGTTCTGAGGTCTCTCAAGATCCTCATACTGGGGAAGAACAGGTTAGTTGCCATGACAGGAAGTGTAAACAAACAAAGACAGCACAGATAGTACAATTATAGATATTATGAAGCTTATTTTTAGTATGATAAAAACTTAATTGACTTTGACAATGTGCAGTTCAGTTGTGCTAGTGCAAGATAACCAGTTGAGTAGCTTTATTGTTCTTTTGTTAAACATCTCTAATATGCAATGAAAGTTGCAGCATTTATTAATAGTTAAAAGGGGTTCAACAGTGCTGCCATGAAATGAAAATGTTGTTTACATTTAGCATTTAATACATTTGAATTAACTAGGTACGGCTACATGGTCAGCATCAGAAATGATTAAACCCAGTTTCATTTGAAAAGCAATCGTCAGCAGGTTCAGGATCAAAGTCACATCTTTTTGACATAAAGATCTTACAGGTGAACTCTGGCATTTCTTCCACTACTTTCTTTCAAACATGACATTTGTCGTTGCAAATCAGTATCTGAGGTCATAGTAACTGAACAGTAAGAAATTCCTCTACTTTATTTGTTGGCATTTTCAAAAGACCACAGCAAATTATTGTTCAGTGTTATATGATCTCCATCCACATGGAGAGCTCTGAACAATATATTACTGGATATTACCTGTACTGCTGCTGTTCCCTCAAAAACTGCAACCTTTTTAAATTTTCCTGTTGGTTTTTCATTAAGCCAGAATTAACATAATACGTGTTACGTAACTGTTGCCACTCTACAGACAAATTCTGTTTCATGTTGTGTTTTCCCATTATGTGTCACATTTTTCCTTGTACTTTGCAGAATTCATGAAATCTGCTGCCTGGACAGCTTGTCTAAACTGAATATGTTGGATTTGCATGACAATCAGGTGCTGTTCCTTTACCGTCATCCCTCCTACAGGACATGTATATTAAACAGTGTTAATTTAGTTGCCAGTGGTGTAAAGGCTGATCATGGTTGTAGGCTTCAAAGTTCAGTATGAGCGGATTGACTCTTCCATGTTCTAAACCATGTATTAGGAGCAGTTAATTCACTTTAATACTGAGGTTTGTTTTTAAAGCCAGAAATCTGGCTCGTTGTTTTGGGCACTTAACTTCAGCTTTTCACATAGTTCACAGCACTCTAAGAGAAGAAAGCACTGAAAACCATCAGAACCCACAAGCTGTTGTCTAATACCTACTCCCACATTAATTTCCTCAGTGGCCATCGCATAATTTATCGAACAGATGGAACTGTTTTTTTTATGTTTTCAGCACTGGGTAATGTTTTGAACTCTTGTAGATTATAGTGTTCCTAAATTGTCTCATTCTATTATTATCTATTATTATACTGTTTTGTTCCTTGAGAATAGAGCCTGCTTAATGATATTAAAAGCCTGAGAAATAAAATTATGTCAAATGAGAATTTTAACAACTAATGGAAAAGGAAGACAACATAGAAAGGCTTCCCTTGGTCAAATTAGTGTTTTGCCAGAATGCCGCCTACACGCCTCCTCAGAGAGCTACTCCAGAGCTCTGGTAAGACTTGCTCTCTTTCTGAGGTCGGTTGCTCTTTACACGAGCAAGCATTACAGTTGCCATTCAATGATTGTTAGTTTTACGTTATTTTTCCTGACAGAGATTTCTCTGTTGCCTCAACAGTGTTGACTTGTGCTTACTAACTACATATATATGGTTAATTTTAGCAGTTTTTATAATCTTGCAGTTGAATTAATAATGAAACTTCTTTAGCTCTTTTGCTCTTATTTGTAATGCAAGCACATTATATTTAGGCTCGTACTCTAGCAGACACCTATTGTAAAGCAGATGATAAATCTATCATTCTCACAGGGCCAGTTTGTCTTTCAAACACTGAACTTAAAACCTTCTGTTTTGTGCAGCTCAATAACTGTTCAGTCATATTTTTAACACATTTTCCAAACTCACAAGAGATCTGACCACCCAAATGTATTCTGAATTGCTGCATAATGATAATTCAAGATTATGAAGTGGATGAATTATAGTTGTTGTTTAGTGACTTTTGGCCACAGAACACCAGCTGCTTGTCTTCCCCCCCCCCCCCCCCCCCTTTTTGACCACAAGCTTTGCATCACTGTTATCCTTTCTTCCCCCCATCCTTGAGCTGGGAAGCTCACAAACATCTAAAACTCAGCCATTTTACCCATTTATTGCTGTACCAGCGAGAGGTTTCTTTTCCAGTTTGCTGGAGCTATTCAGAATGAGATATTCTCTCTGGGAGTCGGCCTTCAACCCACTCAGTCTCAGTGACCAAGTCTTGGGGTTACAATGTGAACTGAGATTGTTGAATAACCAATTCTTTACTTAGGCTGTGATGTTTTCCACTTGAACAGTTTGACTTAAATGTTCTCAAGAAATAGCTGAGAATGCCCTGTGGGGTCACTGAATTGAAAGACAAAAAATATCACTCTCTTAGAGAAGTTGGCTAAAGTCATGTAGAACTCTCGCTCCTACAAATGATGATGTTGATTAAGTTTGACTCTGTCTGCCATGTTTGGTTGGCACATCACTCTGGGATGAGGTGAAGTTTAGACAGGATTTCCCCACAAGAATATCCGTGACCAACGATACTTGTGACACATACTTATTTTTCCTATGTCATTTGAAATAAACATACCAAGTGTAGAAGAACAGGCCTTTACCTGTGAGACAGAAGCCTCTTGCCAAACTCCGGGTCCTGACCTTCTTCACTGGAAATCACCAAATTCATAGTCTGTAACTTAAGATTCTCATATATTTTAGAATGGGGCTATCCAAAATCTATTTCAGTGTGTACAGAGATACAGAGTTTATGAATTCATATCCATGTGTCTGTCCGTTGTAAAGGTTATGTCCTTTGATTTTAAAATGCGTGTTACAGAACAATTAGTTTTATCAATTCCCAAAGTGAGATATAGGTAAAAAGTCTACACTTGCCCCTTTGTTTAATGATTCTCAGCAACATTTATTATGGTGGCTCGATTGTTTAAATTGATGAACACTTACAGTGTGCAGACTGTATTTCGGGCCAAAATTCATAATCTATTTATTCCTATTTTAATGAACACCTATCTAAGCTCCCAAAACTGCATTTCGTTGCCCTGTACCTGTGCATGTGCAATGACAATAAAGTTGAATTCTATTCTATTCTATTCTAAAACAAGATATAAATCAGATGCAATTTATGCTGTGGTGCTGACTAAGATCATACTGCAGTGTTTCTGCTTTATATTACTAAATAAATGTCTCTTTAGCTTTTACATTTATAAACACTGATATTTCAGACCATCTGAAAAGATATCCTAGACAAGAACTTTTTTAGTCTCATATTCAATATAGATTTTCAATCCATCTGTTCTGTTTACCATTAAACAGCAGTTATGTTTGGATTTTGTGTTTTCACAGAATCATCAACTCGTAAAGCATTGTCCGCCTTTTCTTAATGTTTATAGTGTGCACAGTAGGAATAGGCAAATACATCACCATCTTGATAACAGCCACTGGGAATTTGTGTGAAGTATTAAAAATGTCACTCTTACAGAGGTTTATAAATGTTTTTCTCCAAGCAGTGTGATGGAGAAGGTGGGGTAAGATTCCACCATTGACTGACTCTTAGTTATTTCTTTTGTTTTCATGATTTGGTTAGCCAGACAACATGTGTGTCATTTTAGAGAAAGAAATTCAAATATACAATTCAAGTATGTTATACTCTGCTAATCCAGCCTTAATCTGTGCCTCACTGCATAGAATTGGGTAATATATGATATGATTGCTCTTTTACATGCATTTTAGTTTTGTTTTTAACTAATTTTGTCATACTGTGCTTTCCTTTAGATCTGCAGGATAGAAAATGTGTCTCATCTGAGTGAATTAAGAGTGTTGAACCTAGCAGGAAACAACATCTCCAAAATGGAAAACTTGCAGGGTCTTGACTCTTTGACTGAACTGAACCTAGGGCAGAACTGCATCTCTGTTGTGGTGAGGGAACTCTTTTCCAACTAATTATAGATTTTTGTATGTAAGTGTTTTGCATGCGTACTGTCCTTTTCCTTCATGTTAAAAAACAAAAAGCAAAAGCACTTCCTGCTTTTTGGCCTTTCTTTCTGTTCGCTTATTCAGTTCCCTTATTTCCATCAGTTTGAAAGTACAGATACAAAAATGTTTGCACGCTTAGATCTTACATTGTGCATTGATTTAACTTAGCTATATCCGACTTGTAGACCCTAGTGTGATGCAGCACACAGCTATATCCCAACACTACAGCTACCCTGTGGTTCTTTGAAGTTCCTGCAGCTACCAATTATTTTTTTTCTTATTACTGTTCAGAAAATGTGCCTCTGAAGATGAAAGCAATAGCAATTGTACTTTATCTTTCATGTTCAAATTACCACTTGTGGACCAGGTCCCTTGGATGGTTACTGTTACCTTTGCTATGGATCAACATATCAGTTTTTACAGCCACAAAATAACAAAAATAAAAATAACATTAATGGAACCTTTGTGAGAAAGTGGTGGTGGAGTATATCACTGTTGGTGTTACCTAGGGAGACATAACTCATTACCCACAACCTCCCACCGACTTTCTGGCACGCTGAAAGAGAAACTGGATATTCTAAACACGGAAACTTACTCCCTTTGGTTTCTATAGTTTTAATCTGATAAACACAACAGTGCATGCCAAAACAGGCCCCTTCATTTGTATGCAAATCCCCTAAGCCCTTTCATGCTTTTTAAGATAGAAAATAAAAACGGATTTCAACATTTTGAATCAGTTGAAAGCCCTTCCCGTCACTCAGCCTGCCGTCTGCCTGCAATTTCTGATCACAAAACACTTCCAGTCCTAATTATCGGATGTTGTATTTTATTTGATACACAGGAGAGGAAAAATGCTACCCCTCAGCAGTTTCTTGGTCTCTGTCATTATTGCTGCTTGCTGCCAAGTGCTTATACCTTGTACAAACTAAATAACCACGTTCCAGGTGCTCAGGTTTTCTCTCTGTCATGAAAGGGAAAGCAGATAAAAAGTGAAATTCTTAACCTGAAAAAAACACTGACACTGTCTTTCTTTGAAAGCAACTCTTAAACTTGATTACTTTGCACCCAGTCATCCATCCTTCCTCTTAGGTGTTCCTTTCCATTATGAAATTCGCTGCATGTCACTAAGGGATCCATTTTATATTTTTGGCTGTGGGAATGATGATTTGTTTGAAAGAAAAGTGCAGTCAGTTTGAGCAGTGATAAAGCAGTCTAAGAAAAAAAGGCATGGCACTGGCAGACTGACTTTATGCATTAACAGAAGGGTTTGTCTGTGAGCCAAAAGACTACATAGAAAAATGTAGAAACTCTATATTGCTCTTTGGTAGTTTTACTGTAGAGTAATTAATTAGGTGAGTTTTATATATTGACACGGTTTATGGGAAAGGGGATTTTTGGATGTTCCTGAGTAAATAGCTTGAAGTGTTTCCCAAAACAGGTCAGTAAACAGTAACAGCAACTTAGTAATTTCTATGTTTTTCCAGTATGGCCTGGGAACATGGAAACTGTGTGTTATGTTATGTTGTTGCAGGGAGAAACTCTTAACTTCTACAACTTAAAAGCCAAGTGAGGACCACAAAATGTTTTGGCTGACATGTGAAGTGTCTCAAAGGTCATGCAAGAACAACACAGGAGTGTGCCCCATGTCACAGCATCTGCAGTTATAATGCGCAGTCGCATAAAGCAGATGAAATCACATCTCAAGCCTGTGCTATTGAAGGAACTTCCACAAAACCCACCAGCTTACGGTCTTAGAAACCCTCCCAGCAGCCACATGTACCTGTGTTTACATGAGCAGCTTTCTTGCTCTTTTGTGGTGTGTTGGTATTGCATGCAGATGAGACAGCGGTGATGAGAGGTTTTTCTGTGTTTATTGAATAATGCCTCAGCCAGAGCTGAGTATGAGTGTGAAAATGAAGACACGCAAGCTGTCAGTAAAGAGAGGGTGGAGCTGGGATAAAGAGGTGAAGGCACGGGCACACAGATACATAAATACACACCCGCAGGCATACAGGCAAACAAGAATACACACACACACCGCTCTACCCAGCCTCATAAGAGATCCTGTAAGCTGATCTCTTATGAGACTTCCTAAAAAAGGACCACATTGGTGGGCGATTGTTATGCAGCTCATCAGCTCAGTGATGACATCATTCTGTCTGAGACAGGGCTGCTATATTTAGTTTCAGACAGCCAGGAGTGGCTGCTAGTTCACTAGCATCCATACAAAAGCAGGCATAGACAGAGACTGTAAATGTGATTGATGGTTGAGTTGGTTGAGCACTGCATAGCATGACTTGCATTTGTCATAGAAGAAATAAATAAATAAACCCTGCTTATCTATCTATCTATCTATCTATCTATCTATCTATCTATCTATCTATCTATCTATCTATCTATCTATCTATCTATCTATCTATCTATCTATCTATCTATCTATCTATCTATCTATCTATCTATCTATCTATCTCAGTTCTATTGAATTATCTCCTTTGAGCAATAGCTCTCGTATGTGTTGTTAGATGTTGCTGGCCCCATGATCGGAAAGTCAGGGGTTCAAATCCACTGAACGTCTACCCTGAGGTACCCCTATGCAAGGTGGATCCCACGGGGATCAATAATGTATAAATGATTATTTATTACATATACCGCACAGGACCCACCTTATGTGCCAATTAGAAATTTGAGTTTACAACCCTGATTTAGTGTTTACTAACTCCTTGTCTCACCACTATTTCATGCACGTATTTCTAATTCAACATTTTTGGTTATCATGACGCAGAAGTCTAGATAAGGAGGCATAGTGTAAACTAATGTAAATTAATGTGTTAAACAAGCTAAAACATCTTGCTAAAATCTCATGCAGAACTTAAAAATTATGTGTAGGTTGTTACTAGCTTAAAAAAGCCAAGTTGTAAATATTAAATGTTTCTTTTAACTGAGTTTTGATGTGTATAATTGTAGGGGAGGAACGGCACAGTGATGCAGTGGTTACCATTGTTAGCACTGTGTCTGTATGGATTTTCTCTCGGTACTCCAGCTTCCTACAGATGATCTTTGGCATTGGCCTTGTGAGTTTTGTGTTGGTCATGTGATGGACTGATGACCAATCTAAGGTTAACCCAGCCTATTGTCAGCAGGAAAAACCTCCTCCCCAGTTTTTTCTGTAGAAATCTTTCACAGTTATCAGTATCTCTAGCACTACTGCTGATGTTGCATAGCCTACTACTCTATCTGTAGTAAATATACTGTACTCAGCTTGTTGGTCTTATATGCAGTTGATAACGCAGTGTTGCATAACTGTGTTATATCTATATGCTTGTGTGGGAGGGAATTTTGTGGATTTCTAAATGACGAAACCTGGCTGCACTGTTCTTCTGCAGGGGTGCTAGCATGACCTGAACACCAGTCTAACCTCATAATAGAACAGAGCCTAGCAGGAAACTGAAGGAGGTTTGTGAGGCATTGGCTGCAGTGTGGGTGGATAGTGACGCAGCCCAGTCAGACTGCTGATGGGAGTGTCCTCTTTGCTTCCAGTATAGCCAACATTGTCCAGCGACACACATAAAGAAAGCCCAGACCTTGATACTAGAGAATGTGATTTACCCCATGCTGTCATCCAAATAGTTTACGTGATTATGACATTGCACTTGTCCCTGTGTGTCCAATTCAGCGTGCCAGCTGCCCAGCTGCTGCTTTTCCCCCACCCCCTCAGTAAATTGTGCATCGATTTTTGATGCTGAGCCTGCCTGATGGTAAAACTCTCCACATCCCTGTCAGTTTCCACTGAATTTTCTCCAGCTATTGCATAATGAGGTGCACTACCTTAGTAAGCTGCTCGTTTTATATCACTATGCTTTCCACTGAGCATTTCAAGTTAGCTTCCTGCAGCAGGGGATCTCTGCATTAGCGCAGCACATTCTCCACTCTCCCCTCCCCCCTTTCCTCCTCATATTCTATCTATTCTCGCTCTCTTCCTCTCTCTCTCTCTCTCTGTTGCCCCTCCTCTCCATGTGCAGACAAGGCAGCATGCTATATGTGTGTGTGTGTGTGTGTGTATGTGTGTGTGCATGCGCAGGGTGGATGGGGATGCTGCATGCTGGAGCTGAGAGCTGCAAGGTGACTGAGGGAATGGAGAGGGATACAGAGCCTTGACGACAGTGACGATGCAGTGCCCTCTTCCTGAGCACCTTCTCATCTTCACATCCCTCCATCTCTCTGTCTTCCCTCTCCCTCTTTCTCTTTATAGACTGAGGTGGACCGCCTGCCCTTGTTGCAGCGCCTCTTTCTCAGCTGCAACAACATCACCAGGTAAGAGCTTGTACCGCTTAACTCCCTCCTCCCCGCAGGATAGAAATAGGGATGGTGGCCGGATAGTGCCACGTCCCCTCCCATGGCTTTGGGCAGAGAATACACACCCACAGCCAGACACACTCACAGATTTGCTGTAGTGGGCAATTTCTGCAACCTAGAAAATAACAAATCCTCGATGTGCTCTTTATTGTTAGTATTTAATCATCTGTTACCTAAGAAATGGGTGTGAGAATGTTTAAAGTTATTTGGGCAACAAAGAAGCAGGTTGTGAGAAGATAATTATTGATGACAGATTTGGAGGTTGGATGAATTAATGGAAAATATACCTAGGTAAGGGCATGTAGGATGAATGAGAGGTATGATTTTTTTTGTCTTAGTGCTAACTGTCAGACAGCTTTACACACTTTTTTCCAGTATCTGTCCTCCTTTCTTTTCTTTTCTTCTTCATTTCTGAGCCCAGCAATAAAAACCTCATAGAATAAACTTAACACAGCATCATCTTGGCACTAAATGAGGCCATTTGCTTTATTTTTGCCTAGTGGAGGATAATTTCTGTGGGATCATTGGCTCCCTTGACCATAGTCACCTTGTGCTCTGATAGATCTGAGCTGACAGTCCAAACCAGCTTTGCTGTTCTTGTGTCTCCATGCTTCACACATTGTGAGAATCATGACATAGTCGCAAGGAATAAAATCCTATATTCTTAAACTTCTGATTTTACAGTGACATCTAGTTCCAAATATAATATGTGAATAAAAATATAAGTAAATTTTGATTATGCGAAACATATATGTATCATTTATCCTGCTCCATGATAGGGTATTTTAATGTATCGTCTTTAATGTACTCATGTAGTGGCAGTATAGAAGGCTGGTTAGCGTGTGTGCACCTTTTTGAACTCTTTAGTGCTGATAGGAGAACAGCTGTGCTCTGTTGCTAGGTAAAGAGACAGAGCACACTCATCACCTTGATGGAGTCAGTTTACTCAGTTCAGGATCTTGGATCAAACATCGCTCATGAAATAATATTAAGACTGAAATATTCATTTGAGCTTACATTGATATTGATTTTTAAAACAAAACAAAACAAAACAAAACAAAACAAGACACCCTATGAAAATAGGATCAAAGCAGAACTAATAATTACCAATAAGTCATTGAAGAATATGTGCAGGGTAGTGCTAGTATAGATAAAGCCTGAAGCTACAGTTTTCATTCACACCGCACTCTGTACTCACATCTTAAAAAATAGTTTTGATATTCACTTTTTATTGGACCATTAGTAGCAATCAGAAACTGGTGGATGGTGCAAGAATTAGAAGTTCTGTTTTTGTAAAGGTTTTGGTCTTCATCATTAATGTTATTATTATTCCTTATTATGAATACACCAATTAGGCAGAATGTGTTAGATGCACTCAAGCACCTCTTTATTATGTTTATTATCTCTTTTATATTTTTATGGTAGGAATTAATATTCCGTAACAGAAAGGGTCTAAGCTACTGCAAGTGTTTGAGATTGGAAGACCCCTGGTATCTCCAGCATGGTGTTTAGCATTTAGTTAAACCTCTGGCTAGGAACAGGCACAGTGTACTAGGACTTTGAGTGGTTCCAGGCAAATGATTCATCAAGGTTATTATCATAAATTAGCAATGATAGAATATCCCCTGCTGTGCATGGCGTGACTTTGCTTTTTCATGTTTCCTTTTGCCATAGGGTGATATCAACAGTGTAGCAGATTTGTCTCTCTTCATTGCCCCCTGAGTAATGTCAGGCTGCCAGAGTGCCTGCTGAATTACCAGCTTAACATGGCATGTGTTAGCCCGGCTCCATTCTGTCAATACGAAGCAAGACAAAATGTGTCAGGAATAAAACGAAGATAGTGAGATTGTCTGGTGGATGATTCAGGTTCTGCAAAATGTATTTTTATATATATATTTTTAATATCATTTACTCAAAGTCTCATTTAAAATTGTCAATTTTTTTCAAAAGTGACCTGAGGGCAGGGGACATTGTATAAAACACATGCACAGTTGTCATACAAATTCAAATTACATGCAATAAGGTAAAAATAGATCAAATTTCAAATAAATTACAGTAGAGCTTTGAGAGCAGTCCATTGACCAAGAGTACCCAAATTCCCAGCTGTACAATTTCAGGTCCATCTGTAGCTTATATTTGAAAGCTTTTTTGCCTAATGTTGTTCTGACTCTGGGGAAAAATCCTGGTGAAATTTTGTGAGAGCTAAAGCCATAATAATTTAATTTTTTACACATGCATTTAAAAAAGGGAGGGAACCAGAGAGGGAACCAAAAAATTAGAGACTGATGTATAAAAGCATATAAACATACAGAGACAGCCACTTTTTAGCAGCATATTCCACACTGAACAGTGGCCTATCTGATTTCGACAACCAGTAACAGAGAACATAAAACATAGGGTAAGGATTGTCTAACTCCTTAGCTAAGGTGCTGATCAGTAGTTGTAGATTGCAATGTTTTCTGTAATGTGTAATACAACAAATTATAATTGATAAGAGTTCTTTGCTTTATGAGAATCAAACTTGGATATGACTAACTTATGTTGAGTTAAATGGCACTCAGGCAGAGTGCAGGAATTCAAGTGTCTGCATGACTTCCCAGTATTTGCTACTGACCGTAAAGCATTTAGCGTAGCCAGTCTTTGTACTGGAAAAGTACCCCCCCCACTGAAATTCACGAGTGTGTTTAAAACATTCATCCTTTGTTTCTAGTTTTGACCAGCTAGCCTGCCTTGGAGAGTCGTGCTCCCTTTCTGAGCTCACGCTGGATGGGAATCCTGTAGCCCTGGAGACATGGTACAAGCAGGCCGTCCTGCGCTGTGTGCTTCATCTCAGACAGCTGGACATGAAGCGCATCACAGTAAGACTGACGTGTTCGACTGTGTGTGTTTAAAAGTGATAAACAGGACATCAGCCACCAGTTAACCAGTTCAGCTGTGACTGTTAAGATATTTTGTTGTCCTTTCAGATATTTTTATTTTCTTCTTACAACAAATTGCACGGCTACAATCAGAGAACACTGTGTTACACTGTTTGTTTTGCTATATTTTGCTTATTAAAAATAGGGAAGAAATATTCACAAATACTTTTAGAAGCAAAGAGCTGCCTTAAAGCGATTAAACCTTCACAGCTTATGACTTTGCTGTGGTTGATATTTAATAAACCTATGCCATATTCTCATTACACTTGCATGTTAAGCTAATGGTCCAAACTTTTTGTCCCTCTGATGTTCCTACATGTTGATTCTTGAGAGCGACTCATTCTTGAAATAAACGTTTTTATGATTTCACACTTAAAATTTATTTTGAACCCACATAGTTTCCCATTCACTGTCACTCTGTATCACCAAGTTGTATGAACAACGTTACAGTGCTATATTCTGGAGTCTGACTGTGGTACTGCATTCATTATGCTCTGTTTTATGCTAAAAGCAAAGTGGTTCAGTGACTAAGTTATGACTCTAAGCTACACATTTACATATATTTTACACACAGTGTATGTAGCAAAACAGTGATTATTCTCAGAAAACATGAAATCATTTTTGTCGTACAGTTTGCCAGAAATGTGCTATCATGAAATGTCAGCGTGCTTTTAGAAACTGTCAGGCAGAGAGCACCCAGGTCTGAGCTTGCACTTTAAAGGAATCTGTAAGTACCACACACCTTGCCCTCAAAACATAGTGCTGATATGAAGTAAAACCAAACCCCCAAAAAACAAAACATGTAACTCAGATTTCAAAATGTTTTTACTTGAATCATAAGAGGTTTCAGGATTAGCAAATTTCAGGATTATTGTAGTCCAATAAAAGCACCTCCACCACATTTCAGCTGCCAATTCCTGATACAAATCAGTTACATTTTCAGAGTTTACTTTAGGGAGACACACAGCATTGACTTAATGACAGAAATGTTTGTCTAGCATTGGGGTTTCTATTTCTTTAAGCATATTATAACTGATTTGGAATATATGTCTCCAGGGAACCATACTACCTCTATGCTGTGAAAGCCCATGCCTGGGTGACTGGTGGGTAGACGGTTCTTTAGGAATCAAAAATGGAAAATGAGAATAAAAAAATTCAGATAACACACATCCGCTAGACTAGAGCATTAATAGTCAACTATTATGTTTCAGAAAAATACCTGAATATGTTTAACATTCAAATTTTAACTGGGAACGTTATTGAAAATCTTAACAGCCTCATAACCGAGAGCTGTTGTCCAAACATTCATTGTTTTGGCAAGTGCACAAACAAAGAATGTATTGACACTGAACAATAGCATCCTTTGCAGTCAAGAAGTTATTCATCAGGTTAAAACAGCTTTTTAATTTTGATATTATATGTTGTTTTTATTATAAAATTAATTTTAAGGATTGTTATATGGGTTTGGATTCTTAACTGTCTCTACCAGCTGACAGCATTTTGCCTGTCTTTATCAGAATTGAGCATCATTTTGCGTCATTACTAGCTCGCCATAGACAGCTGAATATCCCCCTGCTCTTTGCTGGCACACTCAGACTGTGTTGGCTGCATTGCATTCTGGGAGTTTTGGCTTTCCCCAACAGCTGGGCTCAGTTTATCTGAGACTGAAAATCAGACAGATAATCCAGTGATGCAGCCGGTTTATGTGAGACTATCTACCAGCCTCCATAATGGTCCATTTCTAGTGTAGAGAACAGTTGTCCTGACAGGGTCTTTTGTGGTTCCCCTCTCTCTTGAATAATTCAGAACTCTTGAATGGAGCGACACTCTGATTGCACCGGCTTTCTTTTTCAGGACGAGGATCGGCGCATGGCAGGTGTACAGGCTCGAAAAGAGGAGGAAAAGAAGAAGGAGAGTCACAAGCAGACCATTCATAAGGTACCAGTTTGACAAGATTCACTCTTGCTGTCTTTAGCTGGCAGGATGCAAATGCACGTTGTAGACGACAGCAACACAACAGTCTGTTAAGAAGTGAATAAACTCATAATTACCCTTTATATAGTTAGTATGTAGAAGGACAATAATAAGCAGTAAGGTTTTAACATTCTTAAAATGCCACATATAGGTGATGATATCTGATTTGTAGTTTATTCATCTTTTGAATTACTCATAATTATGAGATTCAGGTTCAGGCTTAAATGTGCATTTAAAGAAAAAAAGCAGCTCATCAGACATCAGTCTGCCCTTCAAAACATATTTAATGAGAAGGCTCTAAAATATTTAGGTCATGATAAGGATTTTTATTTATGAGTTTATTTTTTTCTTTTGACATATGTCTCTTGGGACTGATGAAGCTCATTAATAGTGTACATATTTTGGATGCTTCATAGATGTGAATTTCTTTTAATGCATTCTCTTTTCTTCTGTATGATACAAAAACCCTTTTAGATGGAATCTGGAGTATTGTACAGAGTTCACAGGGGTACTGTATTTGTAAAGGAGTCTATAAATGACACTTTATAGCTTTAAATGATCTAAGATGTTCTGCTTTGCACATGCATCTGTTTTGCGGTAAATATGTTTGTGTGTGTGTGCCAAAGCTCCTGCTGCTTTAACTGTTAGATGGACCCTATGCCGAAACTCGTTGTCTCTCAGTTACCTAACTCTCTTTAATCCCTGGTGTTGAGAAAATTTTATAGTGAATGCCACAGCCAAGGGTTCACAAAGGCCAAGGACTTACCATGAACTGATACTCATCCCTGCTTCAAGGAGTGGCACATTCCTTAGCTGAGTATATTGCAACTCCAGCTGTCCAAGTAAGAGTAATTGAAATAGAATAGAGAAGCAGAAATCTTCTCTCTTGCAGGGTGGGATGTCACATTTTTCTGGTGTAAAAGGCAAACACTGTTAAATCATAATGCTGTAGTGTGACAAAAGAAGCAAATGAATTGGACTAAGAAATCACTATATAATTTCAAATCTAATATAAATTGAGTTCTATATCTGCTTTAGTAAAATGTCTTACTTTATTGTACTTTATTGTATATGCTTTCTTTAACAATGTATCCCAGTAAAATATATATATGAGGAAGGCAAGAAGGATATGATTTTCTGTGACCTGATGAAAACACACAGAGGTTCTATTAGCATGCTAGCTCTGTCCTGCTCAGGAGATTTGACACTTGAAACCTTCTTTGTTCTGTGTATGTTTGTGTGTGTGTTCTGTTCATCAAGGAGAAGCGGCGTCTAGCAATCCGTAATGCTGCACAGCAGTGGGAGGGTGTCAGGGCCTGCCTGGAGCTCCCATCCACAAATGGCGCTAAAGAAGAAGTCAGTCCAGAGAACAGCCCGGCTCACAGCCCCGCCCAGACCAATGGCCTTACACAGGAACCTTCCCCTGATGAACCGAGGTACACACAGCATGTACAGAAAATTAAGATGGATTTTAGAAGTAAAAATTAGACAGTGACTGGTTAAGATACTGACGTTATGAGCAAACTATGTTATACTACATATTCCTGGTCTAGTTAGAATTGTGGTTTCAGTCATGGTTTATTTTTAACTGTTTTTACTACCTTTTTAGCTTTTCACAATGGAGATTGGTTTCCAGTTGATCGATCTACCAACTTGGTTTTGAATGAAGTAACTCATGGATACATACAGTGTTGCCTTTAGCCAACTTTTTAATTTTCCTTTTGAGCCAGAATTTTGGCACAGCGATTCATGCCTCCCTCAGGAATAATTGTAATTACTTTGGTAATTACATAATTACCAAAGTAATTATGCTCATAATTCATCTACCACCGTAACTGAGTCAAAAAATGTATTTTCATTTAACTAGTTCTATGGTTGATAAACAAGTACATGCAAAACTAAAAACATTTCCATCATTCACGAGTTATTTAAGAAAAAATTAAATATGGCAGTTCTTCCTGACTGTACACAAAACAAATCAATGAAAAACAATTCAATGAAGTTGAGCAGAGCAGTTAATACTTAAATTAGTGATCATGAATGAAAAATGTAGTCTTTTTGGTAACTGATAGAAGTAAATTAGCATCGTGTGTGTAGGTGGGAGGAGAGAAAAGCGAAAAATGCAACAGTGAGGGAACTGTATACATTGCTGTGTAAACTTTTGTGTTGCATATAATTGTCACAGTTCATCCTGTGTGCAGATATTTTTAAGTAGAAAGATGAGACAATATAACAATGATTGTTTTTGTGATTCCGGCTTATTATCACTATTACTTATCTTTTATTACTTGTTATTTTTTATCTTATAGGATTTTAGAAAGAATTGTTTTTGTCTGTTGTTGAAAATTTTTGTTTATTTTTCATCAGGCGGGTAAGCCCAGGTTCAGGACCAGAGCGGCCATCTGGGGGAACAGAAATCAGACTCCAGAGCAACAGCCGTCCAAACAGCCCACGAGACCCCAAGTAAGACAAAAATGCCACAATGATATATTTTACTTAAATATTTAAAGTGATCACAGGCACTGAAAAAAATCTCACATAATTTGACTCCTGCCCCCTTGAAACATCTATTAACAAAGTACTGTTTGTCACATTTAAATGCAGTGTTTTAGCAGCTGCTGTACCATTTTAACTTATTAACAGATGGCAGAATGGCCTAGACAGAACATGTAGGGATCATTCTGGTAATATATTCAGATACTGCAACAGCTGGTGTGTGAAACATACCTTAAAATATTATTTTACAGCACAGTTACCCCTTTATTTACTTCAGGCATGTTGCCTTTGGTTACTCCTCAGCTCTCTGAACTCTGGTAAGATGAGCAGATGCACATGTAGATGTCTGAAAACAGTTCTTTTCTTTCAAATATTTACAACATGACATTGCAAAAAGTTTAAATCAGTAGTGTGGACTCAGTATAATGTGGAAGTAATGCCCTTATATTCTTTCCTATCAAGACTGATACAAGTCTGGATGAATTATAAGTGGGAGGGTTGAGATGAATGTGTGCGCTGTGTTAAGGGCTATTATTACATGTTTCAAAGAGGGCCCTTTCTTCCTGCACCAGGATATGAAAATGGCCCTAAAGCAAAATCTTCAGTGCCAGTGGTTTTCTTTTACTGGTCTATTATAACTTTACTAATGTGGCTTAACAGGTCATAGTGATGCGAAGTCTGCCATAGTCTTATCAGCTAAGACTTGAATTACTTTGGCTTGTACTGTGTGACAAAATACAAAGGGAATTTACAAACCATGGCACCACTACTAACACGAAAGAGAAGCAACATGTATGAAAGGGTCAAGGGGTAAAAAATCAAAATGCTTGGAAATATGAGAATTAGGAAACAATAAAACTTGTTTTGTTCACCACTGGGTGGGTGTACAGAATGTTGTAATGCCTACACAGTGTGGTCCTGATTACCTCGAAGAGCTGTTGAAGTACTACACCCTGAAGAAAATTACAACATCCTCCCTCATAGAGTGCATGGATACATAATGTCATCTCTGGTTCTTTCTTTAAATACAGAGATAAATCACCCCTTTCCAATGAAAGGAACGAATGAAACAAATGTTGATGCCACTTTTAGCTTGATAGTATCATCGTGCTCCTAAAATTTATGGGACAATAGTTTGTATCATTGCCAAATTATGGCTGTTATGTAGGCTTGATTGTATTCATTTTTGTGAAATCTTAGATTTAATTAACCTCATTACCCCTGACAGATGCAATAAGGGTTGCATGGCAATAGAAGAGTTATTACCCAGAAATTCAGCAATTGAGTTGGGAAGAGATGGAAGGGGCTTTGTAGTGTTTATACATTGATGAAATTGAGAGATCCTGAACAGGTGTTTGTTTTTTTGAGGCACATAAATCAGTTAGATACCGGAACAATGGTGAGAAAAAGATTTAGTGGGCTATATGAGTGAAGGAAGAACTTAAGACGTTTTAAACCAGTGCAAGCTGTAGGAATACTTTACAGAAACAGGACTGTTCTGTGCAACACTAAGTACCCAGTAAGCCTGCATCTTAATAAATTGCATTCACTTTTTACAAGATGGAAATGATGGAGTGGCGTGTTAAAATAACAGCTCGGTTCAAAGTTTCATATGTGTCACTACCTCACAATATTTAGGCATTTGTACAAGCTGTTTCTGTGGTGGGATTCAGTTGTTAAGAGATGACAGATGTCCCTTTTAAAACCTCTTTTGGATTATGTTAAATAGCGCTAATTAAATGAAATGTTGTTCCCTATAATTCATTGAGCGAGCAGGAGCTGTATAATTGTGATAGATTCTTCACTCCGTCTTCCCCGCCTTGCTCTCTTCTTCTCTCAGCATGTGTACATGGGTTCATGTCATAAGGGGATTCAGGGCCACCTGGAGCCTTCAGCTGTGCTGAACAGTATGTGACAGTGCAGATTGTGTTGATGGCATGCTGCCAGGTGTTTAGAAGTTGCTCTCATTCTTGATGTGACTTATCTACATACTACACTCCATCTCCTGCACTGTTCTTCAACTCCTTCTGATTTACAGCCTTTGGCATTCTTGCATCTTGGAGGCGTGGCATGTTCCTTAAATATATTAAACTGCCTTTCAGAGTCTGGCGTCTCCCCGTCTAGTTCCATGTTTTTGTCCATGTGTGCACTTGAAACACGACCCACTTGAATTTTACGGTTTTAAAACTTCTTTGCTACTACTTTATCTAACATATATGCTTGCAGTCAGTGAGATTTTGATTTAGAGATCTTGTCATCTGAAATAGTCATCTATCAATGTCCACACATGTTTTTAAAATAAAAATGTAAAAAAATGGATGCACTCCTTCTACTGCACTTGTTGCAAGAATTATTTGAACCCTTTGTACATGTTGGCATCCATGTTTGTAAGGTTGGTATATGTACTAATATAAAAAGCATAATTCTGACCTTTTGTACTGTTTTTGTACTGTTTTTATACAGTTGTGGACAAAAAAACAATACAAAAAAACATTTGCACAGCAGTCTGTGCAGTCTTGTACAAAACTAAGAACATTCTTAGGAACTAGGAGGATAAGTTGCAAGAAGATACTACTAATCAAATGCATCTAATTAACTGATCATCAGCATGTGTGACCACCTTTATAAGTGTAGAGTTTGTGGCAGATTTCTGGTTTGTAGCATTCAAGTGCATGTTAACGGAATTCCACAGTTTTCCTAGTAGTGGCCTTCCTAGCAAGTATGAATGTTAAATGTTAAAGTTCATGACAGTACAATTATAAAAAGACTGAAAAATTGTGGCTTGTTTGAAAAGGTTACCAAGCAAAAATCTATTTTCTCTGAAAAGAACATAGCAGCCATAAGAATTCTGGAACAGTGTCTTTTTGACAAACATGAACAAAGTGGCGTTGTTTTGCCATACCGCACAACACCACATTTGGCAAAAAGTAAACACAATATCAGTACATTCACAGACCAGCTGTCATTCATAGTAGTGCAGATTTGTGTTCCTTTTACAGCTGCAAAACATGGGTACCATGTAGCCACTGAGTCAACTATGAACTCCTCTGTATGCCAGTGTATTTTATGTGAGGCCATGTCACAGCATCAAATGTACAACAGAATGGCTGAAAAGGAAACAATCAAGGTATTTGAATGGCCAAGTCAATGTCCAGGCTTGAAGGTTGTTCTGCAAGCTATTACATGATGGGGTGTTCCTAGTTTTTCACATGACTGAATACGATGTAATCGCTGTACTTAAGAAAATGCTTTTTAAACTTTCAGGGTTTTTCTTTTGAGTGTAAGTTCAATTTTTGGCCACTGGGGAAAAAATGACAGAAAGGCTGACTGTTACACATATCAGTTTCTTTAATACATCTGTGGAATCCCCCACACCATGACCGTCCCTTGACATTTGACTAACAAGCCACAGAGTGAGTGGTGGATCACATTCGCTATGTTGGAGTAATATGTCTAGGTAAAAACATAATGATTGAGGGGGACACTCCTCATCAGTGAGTGGTGCATTGTGAGAGGTTCAGGTTGTATTACATGATTAATTTAGTTCAGCCTGGAACAGTATAGCTTGAAAATGTTACTTCCAACTGCAAGAATTTATATATATATATATATATATATATATATATATATATATATATATATATATATTTCCGGCCTGAAATGACACAGTGCCTGATTTGTTGTGATTACTGGAAAGCATAATTTGAAGCAAGTGAGCTTATTTTTAACACTAATTAAACTGTGTTTAACTCACAGAAGTCTTATGTAGACTACTGTATTTATTTACGACTGTACATTAACACAAAAATAAATCCATCACCAAGATCAATCCATCACCTGATGAGAAGCACATTGTCAGTCAGTTGTGTCACTTATTCCCCTAGCAGGCTGAACATGTTATATTGATAACTATAAGGTTTCACTATGACACTCTGATAATCTTATATAATCATTCTCACTGTCTTCACTTTTTAATATAATTAGTGGAACATGTAGTAGTTCTGTCTCATTTTTTTCATCTTATTTGTGTGGCTACACAGTTAATTAATCAGCATATGAATTCTGTAAGTATGAAATTTGTAGACAACACATGGACTTTATGATTTTAATTTCTTCCAATTTGCTTACTGTTTATTAGTTTTAACAGCTTTTAGACCAGTGGTTAATAGATTGAGACAACAAACTGCAGATTCACAAAAAAATAAAATACTAATACCAATATTTCTGTCCAAAGAGTAAACACGTTACAGATTTTGAAAGTATGAAATTACACACTAATACACACAAAAATGTGCAAACCTGTTTTTGTTTGCATTTCCTTTACTTGGTCAAGCTTGTCAATCTAGTTGAGACACAACACTTCCTGTAGCAAACTGCTCATTTTAAAAAGGCATGTTACTGATTTAGTTCAATTATTCATTGACAGTACTTGTTTGGTTTTTAAAAATCTATGGCAACCTTTTTTCAACCTAGGAGAGGAAACTGCACCTACTCGGGGCTATAGAAAAAGCTTTTGTTTGAGGGCCACTCTCCAAAAATGGTGACTTTTTAAACAAGCCGTATATATGAGACAGCCTCACAGAGGTGGGACCAAGTCATTGTTTTGCAAGTCTCAAGTCAAGTCTCAAGTAATGTCAGGCAAGTCAGAGTCGAGTCTCAAGTCACTGGTGTAAAAGTCCGAGTCAAGTCACAAGTCTGAAATTTTGAATTTCAAGTCCTTTCGAGTCTTAAAAAAAAAAAAAACGAAAAAATAATGTTGCAGTTATGCTAAATGTAAATATTAGACCATGTAATTTTTAAATCTGTGTTTTTCTCAACACATGACAAAATAGTGAACTTAGAAAATATACACAAATTGTGAAATTTCACCTCTTTAAAATGCAGCTCAATTAAACCTAGCTCCAAGAATAATTTTCACCGACAGTTCTGAGATAAGCTGCATGTTATTCTTGGATGCGGTTGTAGGACCAGCTTTAAAATCGCATGACAAAAATATCATACACATTAAAAAAAACTGTATCACCAACGTAGCCTGGACAACATTTGCTAGTTAGATGAAGGCAGCTATCTCATCGTAGCATATTTATATGCATATTTATAATCATACGGTTCTTGGAGTGAGTGCATACACTCATGAAGTTTAGTAACTTCAGGTCACTGCAACAAGCCCAGGTACAGTTTACCGACGGATGGGTACAGGACCTTGAAATGCACCGTGTAGAACGAAAGACCATCGTACGTATCATAAGTTTACCAGTCTCACAAATTGTCGTCATAAATACACATTCCTTAACCATTTATTAATAGGACCTTTGAGCTCAACGGTAATTAATTAGCAGTGGAAATAATTTCTGGTACCCATCACAGAAATGTAGCAGTGACAATAATACTGTATGCTGTAATCGTACTGGGCAATTAGTGATACAAAACAACTGTTTTATCCTGTGAATAAAAGTATATGTTTTTGTCAATGTACCATAATAACAGAAGCGAAACGCAATATCGTGTCAGGACAATTCACTATTTATGCACAATAAATAAAGGAGCATAGCGCGACAATTTCTGTTCAGCGCCAGACTTGCTTGTAACCTATATCACCAATTATGTTAAGAAAAATGACGTATTAACTACTAAAAAACAGTGACCTTCGTGTAAATTCTTGGAGCCAGTGTTGGGAAGGTTACTTTTAAAATGTATTCCATTACAGAATACAGAATACATGCCCCAAAATGTATTCTGTAACGTATTCCGTTACGTTACTCAATGACAGTAACGTATTCTGAATACTTTGGATTACTTAATATATTATCATGCTTTTTACAACAACGTGAATGTACTATTGCTGTGTGATTTATTATTATTACTGAAGGTCCGCGACTCCGAACTGTAGTAAAGGGACCTCTGACTAATGCGGCGGGGTCCCTGTCGGCTTGTAGCCGAAAACTAGCTTTACTTTGTTGTCTGGGTCAACTTTTCTTGCGAGAGACAGAGAGAGGCGTTGAAAGGCTGCTCCAACAGAACTTATTGTTTTCGGTGGAAAACACGAACACGGTGTACAGTCGAGTCTTAATAGCTTACTTACAACTGGGCTCGTCAGGCACTCTTCTTGGCTGAAGTGGTTATTATTATATTTACATGCTTCCAGCTCCCGTTTTTCCTCGATGACAACTCGTACCTTTCCACTCCCCTTTTTCTCCCTCCTCGCGCTCACAGACCCATAACGTGTATGGCAGTCCATTCTCCCTGCAACACGGACTACACTGCCCATGATGCTACATTCTTTAGAGCTATGCTTGTAGCATTCTGCCTGTTAGCTTAGCACAACAACAACGACAACAACAACGAAAAGGCGCTCTCTCACCCAGGAAACACACAGTCGCAGAGAGAGAGAGCGTCGCCCTGTAACCATGGCAACCGTAACGCTGCCGCCTGGAACAACAGAACGTAGCTGTCAAACAAAACCCAAACAGTCCTGACCCGCGACAATATGAAACAGGAAAGTACCGCAGTGTAATCCATTTATTTCAACAAAGTAACTGTATTCTGAATACCACCTTTTTAAACGGTAACTGTAACGGAATACAGTTACTCATATTTTGTATTTTAAATACGTAACGGCGGTACATGTATTCCGTTACTCCCCAACACTGCTTGGAGCAGACTAACCTGTGAGCTGGAGTGTTCTGGGACGTTATATTTGATCTTTGAATGGCTGCAATCCAGGCCATCCGTCGCGTCCTTGTTACTTCGGAAACATGGCTTGAACAATTTCTCTTCAACGACGTAATCCGATAACAACCGATCTCTTTACCCGTCGGCTTCCCGTGGCTGTCATGCGACCGGCTATTGCAGTTAATAATACAGCGGCTTCTTGACATTTTTGTGTTTCTTTTTATCGCTGTATAACTGATTTTAATTGAAAGCCTGCGTGCGCTAGTACCGCTTGCCACGAGTTCCCAGAATCCTTTGCGGTTCTACCCGTGAATGACGTCACATTTTCAATCTCTATATAATATGCATGTTAAATTTTATATTTGGGGTAAAATATCAAGTCTTTTCAAGTAAACCGGTTCAAGTCCATTTCAAGTCCCAAGTCATTGGTGTAAAAGTCCAAGTCAAGTCACAAGTCTTAGAACATTTTTTCAAGTCAAGTCTAAAGTCATAAAATTAATGACTCGAGTCTGACTCAAGTCCAAGTCATGTGACTCGAGTCCACACCTCTGCAGCCTCATTATGGAAAACTAAATATACTCTTTTTGTTCACATTATATTTTGTGCCCCTGACTATCTATTTAAAACCTATCTAAGGTCACAACTCAAACTCACACTTTCTAAAGTTTGGTCTCTGTGTAATCTTGGATTAGACTTCAGTAATCAAGGGATTAATCTTAAAAGTACTTTGGCTTTCTGTTGCATTTTGTCAAGAGGATATGAAACATGAATAGGGGTGATTTGTCTATTGGCGGCCTGAAGTCAGGATGATCACTGTTGAAGGGTGGAGCCAGTAGCCATCTGATGCCCTGCTATGCTGAAAAGTCCCTTGAGTGTCAGCAGACCCAGACGGAGATTATGTCTCCTTGAGACTCGCCAAGATTCTCTACTCTCACGACTCTCTTATCAGAGAAGGGCACTTCAACTGTTGTCTAGGAGTATAGAAAGTAATTGGGCAGCACAAACAGGACATTGACTAGACCAGTGAGTGTTCTCTTGTGTTCCACTTCTCTTAGCAACAATGCCTGAATTTTCAAGCAAATGTAGCATACACTTTTTTCATGAAGACATTCTTCAAGTTTCACAAAAAAACCCCCACAATTTGCGCATTTAGTATCAGAAAATTAACTTAAGGAGTGTTTTCGTGTGTGTTTGTATGTAATTTGCAGGCTTGTGGAGGCAGGGAGTGGCAGTGTTCAAAGCTTGTCCTTGTCTGACAGTCACCTGGCAGAGCTGGATGGAGACACCCTGCGTTTATTTGGACTTGGAGCCCTGGAGGCCCTGGAGAGGGGCTGGGGTGTTCAGACTGCTGGTGCTGTCACTGTAATAACCTTCCGCTACATCAACTTTGATGCCATAGTACCAACACTGCCACGAATAAGAGTCAAGTTCCCAAATCTGTCGGTGAGGCCATGTTATATTATTAGCTGTGCAGCTGTGATGACTTAATTAATTAATTAATCAGGAAGGAATACGGAAGGAAGGAAGGAAGGAAGGAATACGCTCAATGCATTTTTTATTTACCTTACTCACCAAAGTTCCATGACATGACACCAAAAGACGGTCTTGGCTAGTGGCTATTTGCCAGATCATAGTACATAGTTATTGTCCCTGAACCTTTAGTTAATTTCTCTTATTACGTAATGTATCTTGTAGAGCGCCACATTAACCCAATATACAATAGACAAATAAATTTAATAGTCAGTGGTAGGGCTCATAATTTATACTTATAGCTGCCTCACAGGTATATTGTTGAGGCAGTGTAAATTAAGGCAGTATAAAAAAATCACATCATTTAATATTTTAATATATTGTATATATCTTTTAAACCCTTTTTGCCAAAGGCCAATCTTTTAAGTCCTAGTTGAATTTAGTGAGTTATTGATATAAACAACTACTTATTGCTTTAACACGTACCAACTTTTGTTTCTTTTCGGTAGCATATGATATTCCTGGAAACCAACATCAGCCGTCTGCCGCAGCTGGCAGCCCTGGCTCAGGTGAGGCGCCTAGACCAGCTGACCATACACCCAGACGGCAACCCAGTGGTCAGTTTGACTCTTTGGCGCTCCTTTGTCATCTATCGTCTTCACCACTTCAACCTGCAGAGGATAAATGGCCAGGAGGTGAGGATTAGCTTGGTCTGTTAACACATTCCTGGTGCTTATAGATAGTGAGATATTTTGGCAAAAGCCCCCTGACAACATGGTCCATGGAATCCCTCGGACACATGCATCCCTCCACCATGATAAGGTGGAGATTCACAGAGGGGCAATTAATTAATTAAAACATGTCAAACCATTAATTTACTGTTGCCAGCCCTAAATGAATTCAATTCAATTCAATTCAATTTTATTTATATAGCACCAAATCACAACAAAAGTCGCCTCAAGGTGCTTCATAGATACAATTATAAATTATAGGTCTGTGTCTCCTGGAATGCTGTACCTGAGGATATTGCCTCTACATTAGATCCCATTTTAGACTTGATTTGATAAATGACCTTTATCAAAGGTCTTGTCTCTGTGTTAGCTGCCACTTTCATGTCTTATCCTATCTTGCATCTGTTAAATGGTATCAAACCTTTTTGCTAAGCCGAAGCCATGAATAAAGTTGTAAATCTTCATTTCGTATTGGGAAATACATGAAAAAGCTTGTCACTGAAATATATTGTGCTGTGTGTATGTATGTGCTTTGTGTATTCACCTTAGGTGACCATGAACGACGTTATCGCTGCAGAACGTGTATTTGGAACACTGGGCCATATAGCAGCCACCGAAACTCCACGTTGCCGGCTCCTTCTGCTGCTTGAGGAGTCCAGGTGAGAACTTGATTCCAGATGTTTAACCATAACATAGCATTAACTACAGATTAATGGCAGGTGTGTGCTGTGTCTTGGACCATGTAGATTGTTTGTTTAAGTATGTCAAAAATGTGTGGATCCTTAAATGTGTGTCAGATGTAGGCTTCTGTACATGTGTGTACATGCCTGTGCATAGCGTTTTGTGGGTATATGAGTGTGAGTAACAGTGAGACAGAGCCTGGCACTGAGGAGCCAGGGGAATTAGACTATGTGTCTCAGGATAAGGGTGGGTACTTGGCATTTAGACACAAACATTCCTTTCTCTCCCCAGCCAAAAAACTCTTGAGGTCTGTCTCTCAGGGTCAATTAAAAAACATCCTAACAAGGAAAAGAAATCTGCTTGTCACGCACAAGACTACTTTGGCCAGATTTCTTGTAAAGACATTTTTTGAACTCAGTGATATCTACCTGGATAATAAATAAATTAAGGATTATATACTTCCCAGATAATTGAATACCTCTTGCCTGTAACAGGTTTTACCCCATGTTGGCATCAGAACTGCCTTAATTTTTGATTGCACAGATCACAAAGGAAACATTCCTCATAGATTTTAGTTATATTGACAGGAAACATTTATTGAAAAAGATTGAAAAAAAAAAGATTGAAAAAGATTGAAAATCTCTACTGGATCTGGTTCTACTGGATTGAGATCTGGTGACTGTGTAAGTTATTTGAGTACAGTGAGCTCATTGTCATCTTCAAGAAACCAGTTTGACACGATTTGAGCTTTGTGACACTATCCTGCTGGAAACAGCCATCAGGAGATGGGCACACTAATGCACGTTGAATAAAATGTAAACAAATTTATTTTAAACAACCTAGAACTCAATTTCAACTGCCTTTGTATCCTTTGTATCTCACCTCTGCTTCATGGAGTCTGTTATGAATATATAACACACAACAGCCCAAGGCCAAAGATTAATTTCATATCAGTGCAGAAATCTTACTCACTGTTATCCGCATGCAGGATCTTGAATAATTTGTATCCATCTGACTCACTTATTTTAAAAAAAATCTGAAAACTGCTGTAGATTGTTTCTCACATAAAATGTGGTTTTAGTTTCCCAGCATGAATAATAATAAAAAAGAAATTACTGGAAACAGGGATTATGAGTGAGCAAACAGTATTAAAAGATGGTAAATTAATGCTGAGCTCTTGTTATGCCTATTTTGTTTAGAAGAGTTACCTTAAACACTAGTGAGGAATTAAGTTCCTGCATGGTCAGTAAGTTTAGGCATTCTGCGCATTTCAGGATTTGTCCCCACTGGGATTCTGTCACTGCAGCGTCTCCTCGATGCAGAGTTATGGATGGCTGCATAACTCTGCATCAGTGCCTTTATCAGTAAGATGTTTTGATGGGTTTCTTTGCAAAATGATTTTAAAAGTTATGGACTGATTTGACCTGCAAGATATGGCAAAAAAATCATGTGCATCACATTTTGCAAAAAATAAATAGCTAATAGAAATACTAAAAATTATTGTACATAATTTTTTATGTAGTCAGATATGCCTCTGGATCCAGGGACTCAATTCATGCAGCATTTGTAGCCGTGGCAAAGGTATGCATTCAGACTGCGTTTATCTGTGCGCCACAGGCGTTCTAGTAAAAAAACCCAAAAAACCCACATCATCCTACACTATGGAATTTATGATCTCATTATAATAAACACTTTCAGTTTATCACACTTTGTTTTGCATCATAAGGAGCTGACACTGGAAACACATGTGATGCTGTTTATATTGCATATATTAGCTATCTGATTTTTCTGTGCACACGAGCTCCTCTAAAATTTGGCATTGAGTCAGTCTATAGTCATCGCTTACTTATCTAATCATTTAATTGCCTTAATTTCATACAAAATCTGTGCTTCTTGTCTTTCCTGTAATAGATGTGAATAGTCCTTTAATGGACCAGAACAGAGATTGCTATCACCAATCAATAATATATATTTTTTTCATTTATAAAATCATTTATAAAATGCTAATGTCCTCTCTCTGTCCCTTGCTTCTCCTTCTCATATAACATGTGTTATACCTGCATTAAGCATATTTCATACTTCCTCTCAGTATAAAGTTACATGTGCAAGATTCAGTAGTGTGTATTCTCTGCTTTCAACAACTGTTCATTTTCACTCATTTGTAGTGTGTGACAGTTGTATTTGTGTTTGTATGCGTTTATAATGGTTGTAATATCCTCGTGGCCATTTCTTGAAAAAGAGAGTTATAATGTCATTTATCTGGATAAGTAATAAAGATAATAGAATATCGTAATAAAGTATAGAGTATAGTAATATAAAGTATAAAATATAGTAATAAAGAACTGATGCACTGTGAACAAGCTGAGAGAGAGAATGGCCCATTTATTGATCTATCTACCTTTAATCAGTTAGGTTAAGTTAAGTTACCTCCCCCACCCACACCTGTCAGGGTTCTTTAACTTCAGTCTGAGTGGTGAAGACATCAAAGGGAAACTAATGCTGTAACTGGGCATGCTTGCTATATTGCTTAAGGTCTCTGATGGACAAAATACAACTAAATTCCTCAACATTAAACAGATGCCATCTGCATTGTGTTTGTAAAATTCAGGCTGAAACTGTGGGATCATATATCAAACCCAAGGTGTTGTTTCAAGTTTTTTTTTTAAATTTTTTATCAGATCTAACTTCCACGTATCTGTATTATTGTGTTAGTCATTATAATGTGTGAATGACACACACTGATGTGTTTTGGCATACACATGCATTCACACACTCTACAAACTGTCTTATCTTAAAAGGAATGTTTGCCTCCAGCTTCCTCTGAAAAGACAGTTTCAGCATCCTGGCACTGACCTGTGGTACATGTTGGTGCAGTAGTGTATCACATGACATTTACTTTTGATAGACAGCAACATTTGATGTAGTTTATGTTAGAGCGCTGTACTGCTTTAATAAGTGTATTGTACTTCTCTGTGTTAAAGACATTAAAATATTCATGGAAATAGTTCAAAAAGACTATTAACATTTTACATATTGTTTGCCTGTTTTCTTGGATTTAATCCATTATGGTGTTTTTTTGTTCAAAGTATCTGAGTGTTACTGACCTTTCTGAACTGTCAGTGTTTGTTTAAATGCTGTCATTTCTGACGACTTCTTAAGTGAGCCCTTTCCCTTATTTCTCAAGAAACTGTTTTCACAGTATTAAGTTGAGATAGTGCCATTTGATGGATACAAAAACATGCCTTTATTATAGTGGTGCCACTCACTTGCAGCCACTGTTTCTCCCCAGGTGTCTTTGTGTTTTTTCAGTCTATATCTGACTTACTCTTCTTTCTTGTCTTTCTTCACCCTGAAGGAAGCGGCAGTTGCAGTTCCTGTTGGAGGGGCGTGGCCGGCGGGCAGGACTCAGTCCAGAGGAGCTGCGTGATAATGGGAAACTCCTGGGAGAAGGCCTGAGCAGAGCGTTGTTTAACTATCCAAGCAGAGACTGCAGTGCAGAGAGCCCTGAGGTTAGTTCTTATTTATAGTGCTGACTGTACTTCATCTTCAAAAGAAGGTTAAGAGAAAATACAAACAATGACTTGAACAGGAGTCAGCTTCTGGTGTCATTCATACAAATAACACACAGGTCATTAATGCACCATCGAACAGGAATCAGTATTTGAGTTGTTGTTATATTTTGTCAGTTTGTGAGACTACAGGTTAGAGATGGCACGATACCACTTTTTTATGTCCGATACCGATACCGATATCATAAATTTGGATATCTGCCGATACCGATATGAATCCGATATAGTGTTTTTTAATCAACAAAACTGTTTTTTAAATATCTTGCTGCATTTTGTATAAGTTCATACTCAAGTTTAAAACAACAACTACACTAAAGCTATTCTGTTATACCTGTATACAAAAAAAATATTTCATAGTTCAGCAATACTGATCAATCTAATAAACTTAGACCTACACCATCCTCCCTATTCTGGTATTTTAAAGAGTACTTAGCGTAAATATATGGCAACCTAACTAATAGGGTTCCAACTCCCAGCAACAACAAAAATAAATAAATAAAAAATAGGGAACCACCCCTCACGCTCCACCTCATGATGCTTAATTGACGTAATCAACCTTAATTTGATGCAGTGTGAAAAAAAAATGCACAGAAATCAATTCTTTTTCAAGAAATATTAAATAGATTCAACATCTTTCTTCAACAAAATTGCAGACTGCACAGATGGTACCTTCCCAAAGTAAAAAGTACTATAGCTTACTAGGGTATATATATTAGACTTAATAGTCACTATGTACAGTAATTGACTTCTATTCATTTTACATCAAATTAAAACTTTGGGTGTCAGATAATTATTTATTAAAAGCTCGACATTTTAAATGAGAATAAGAAAGAAAAGTATGTCTTTGTGCCCCCTTTTCCCAGTTAATGCCCTATCGGCCCCCCTGGCTAAACTTTGCTAGATCCGCCCCTGCACAGTTACCAGCCGTCAGCTACGTAGAAAAAGATCCTGGAGTAGAAAGTAAGATTAAATAAATTGTAACAACAGCTTATCAAGCTTAAACGTGCTGCTGTTGTTCAGCCGCTGGTTTCCTCTTTCTGGTGCAAAGTGGACCAAAAACAAACAAGAGAGACAGACTCGCGACAGAAAAGCCGATCAGCTGATCATTTAAGCAGTTTCATGATTGAAGTAGCAGCCGGAGAGCGAGAGGCAGTCGCTTGTTAAGCTTAACGTGGGAATGCTTTACAAACATTCAGAGATGGACTTACACACGTCCTTTACTTCTCTCGGGGATAACTTTGTCGGAGATGAAATGCCAGGTTGCTAGCGAAGCTCCAAATGCTATCCAGACCACCGACAGGTCCCGCATGCCACAGCCGCTCTATCACGTGACGCATACTGCTCCGACTGCTAACGTTCTGAGGTGAGTTACGGTGTGTTGCAAGTTTTGTGAGGTGCTTTCGTGATATTTAATGGATCGGATTACATTTTTTATTTTTCTCCGATATCCGATCCAGTAATTTAGGTCAGTATCGGACCGATACTGATACGTAATATCGGATCGGTCCATCTCTACTACAGGTGTCAACACTGCAAGAAAAGTCTAGTCCCAAAGGACTGACAGAATCAGTCCTTTCTAATTCATGCAGGACTACTGTACTGTGAAACTTGTATCTTGATCTGCAGTCATTTATATTCAGAGAACAAAGCAGGCCTCTGTTGCAACAGTTATGGCATTGATTAAGTCAGATAAAGCAGGAGTGAGCAGTATGGGTGAGATGGACTGAAAGTTGGTTTTCAACTATTATAGCAATAAAAGATATTGTGCATGCTGTTTTATCATCATCATTGCTAAAGGTTTCACTAACAAGTGCAACTAATACCACCAGTGTTGCTTTGCAGAAACTTTGCATTGGATGGCATAGCTTATAAAACACACATTATAAGCCGAAGAAAAAACAGCAATTTCTGAAATCTTAAAATTACTTTCCTCAACCAGATACAGTTAACATGGTTCCACTTGGGATTACTTAATATTACTCAAATTTCTATTTTCTCTTAAATTCAGCAACAATAAATACAGTGAACTTGGGATAACAGCACATTGGAGAAGCCTAAGCCTCTAGCTACTGTAGCCTCTTAGTAACTGGCACTTGCACTAATGCAGTTTCATCCTGCTTTATTTGGGTGCAATTTAACCTCCTTTTACTGAGGAAAGAGTGGAGCATCTGACATGTTTGTGCAGATCAGGCACCAGTACCTGTTTTGGCATGACAGTACTCTTGCTTTTCTGCCCCATGTTCAGGTCACCTCTTTCACCTCTCTTTTAAAGTTAGATAAAGGCTTTTTACCCAATTTCATTATAACATCAACACCAGCATTGACTTTATAATTTAGTTGTATGTTTAACAAAAGCGTACTGCGATATGTAAGACCTCTGTTTCCACTAATCTAAGACACTCCTATCATTTCTGTTTGAAAAACAAATGTATTTATAAGATAGAAAAATGAACAAACCAAATGTATTAGAATTTGTAACGCAAACATGCAAATTATGTTGTTCTGTTCACAGTCTATACGTATGTTTAAATAAGTATGGAAATCATTTGAATGTTGACTCAAGAAACAGCTTAGTGGAATAGAGGAATGGGAGTAAACTATCATCTTAACATCTCCAACAGTGAAGCATGGCATGCTCAATGAAGAAAGATCTTTATTACACACAGTGTAGGGTAGACCGTAAAATGAAGAGAGAGAGTGAGAGTGGCTTGCAGGAAATACTCTGAAGTAGACTCAAACACAGGGCACAGCAGAGAGAAGCATAGCCTTCGGCATATTAGTTGTCTGCTCAACCACAGTGCTGTGAAAAAGAATTTGCCCTCTTAGTGATTTTTTCCTTTTTTGAAAATTTGTCACAATTACATGTTTCAGATCATTATGCACATTTTAATGTTAGACAAAGATGATTCCAGAAAATATAAAGTGCACTTTTACAAGATGATTTCATTTATTGAGGGGAAAAAAGTTATCCAAACCTACCTACCTCCATGTGAAAAAAAAACTGTGGAGGAATTTTTGCCAACTCGTCTTTGCAGAATTGTTTCAATTCAACCACATTGAAGGGTTTTCAAGCATGAGTGGCCTGTTTAAGTTCATGTCAAAGTGTGTCAGTAGGATTTAAGTGTGGACTGTGATTCAGGCACTCCAAAACCTTAAATTTGTTTTTGAATTCGTTTTTTGAGCCAAACAGTTTTTTGAGCAATAGCTTTTTTCGCACAAGGCCAGGTAAATTTTGATAACTTTAAAGGAAAAAACAAAACAACTTTTTTGTCATTTATAAGCTGCTTTGTTTTTCTAGACTTCCCATCTTTTATTAACGTGTCTTACAGGATAATATGTCGTTAGCTGTCCTTGAAACAAAGCTTAGTAGATGTTGGGTGTTGCAGCAGTAGAAAGTGTCAAGAAAGCTTTTTGCACCAGAGATCATTAGAATTGATCCGATCCGAATAGTGCAAATTTTCCTTGTGAACTAAGAATCTAAGGTTTCACTTTTGCACTATGATTGTATTATGGGTGTGTTTAATAAATACATGTAGGATTATTACTGTCTGTGTGTTATTATCTGAAGTTTGTGTACTTATTATATTTTTCAGCCCATTGTGAGCAGTTCATAGAGAAAATAGACAATCTCAATGGTTTCACATGTTCCCATGCCATAGAAAAACAGAATCAACAACAATGAGCTCTCTTTCCTTTCACAGGAGGGCAGTGTGGAGTCGTCAGAGCGTGCTACTATGGTAGAGCAGTACCTACAGGAGTTGGTCCAAAGTGCATCAGACACCAACCTGAAGGGCGAGGCTTTACACAAGCTCTGGCCTTCCATGTTTGCAGAGATGGTGAGAGACTGTGTCTTGGAGATGAGGGACCAAGCGACCTTCCGCCAAGCCAGCCTGGCAAAGCTCTCTGAGACCAAGTGAAAAGGACCAAAGGTTCACTGTTAGGCAACATACATGCACACGTGGACAGAGCTTTCTTGGGCATCTTCGTCCTTTCATTTCAAAATGGATAACACATAATCACTTTATCAGTTTTAATGCATTTGGAAACACAAGGGTGTATTTCCTTAGTCTGTTGGAAGCTTCTGCTTGAAATGTACGTAGACTATTTTATAGGTGTCTGAAGAAATTGTCTGAATGTAGATTTTTCACTAAAAACCCACAGTTTGAGTCTTCAGAGCTTGAAGGTAAATAATACTTGAAGAATGTTAAAGAGACTTAGTGACTCAATGTGCATTGTTGCCCCTAGGGAGCATTGTCTGCACTTTAAAATCCATCTGAATGACCCTTCTACACCATTAATATCATCAGCTGAAAATGACCAGTGTCTCTTTTCTTGAGACTAGAATGATTTTTCTGTCTTAAAGCCTGTCTCATCCATTGCTCTCTCATTTCTTCCTGCGGGGCATAAATGCAAGGGCACAAACAAGGACAAGGTCTTTTCTTTGTTTACCACTGATTTTCTGTATTGTGCTTAGTATTAAACAATTCTGCATTAACACTGAGATTGTCTGCATAGTATGCCTAATTATTTTTCTGATAAATGTTTCTACTGCAGTGAAGAGGCTAGGTCATCCAGTTAGATCATTTCTTAAAATATGCCATTCTCACTTTGAAAGTCAGTCACAAGCCATTGGTATTTCAGAAGGCGGAGGCTCTACATTCATGCTAGGAGGTCCAAAAACTAGGAAGGTAGTGTGAACTAAGACTGGAATGTCCCCGAAGGTGTAGAGGCTTCACCTGTTTCCCACCACCTGCTCTTTAACCCTACAAAAAATGCTTAACCCTTATTTAATCTGACAGTCAGCAGGGAATGGCACCAAGCCAGAGGAGTAACACCACGAGTGTCAAACAGCCCCACACAAGCTGATGGGTCGTGTTGTCATATGTCATCCACCTCACTGGAGATCAGTGCCTTTCTTGGGGCATTTGACTTGAAGAAGGTAAGAACATCCGTGCCCGGTGGCTATTTCCTGGTAAAAAAAAGTAATGTGAGTGACATTCATATTTACTTTTCTCCCACAACAATCTTCTGCCCATGCTACAGAGTATAGTTCAGCATCTGTTCTGATAGAGCAGTTAAATCTAAGAACCAGAACATCGCAGTTGTTGTATAAAAAGAAACACGGTATAATGTGTTGTTTTTGGGGCAACTGTCCCATGATGATTTCATATGAAGGCTCATTGTTCTGCTTTGACAGGAAAGCTCTCAGTGCAAATGCCTGCTATCAGAAAGCGACAACTTGTTTACTTTGAACACGTCTGATGCACAACATTGCTGCCTATCAGCAATGCACTGTTGTTATATTTTGTCAGTTTGTGAGACTACAGGTGTCAACACTGCAAGAAAAGTCTAGTCCCAAAGGACTGACAGAACTTTGTGACTAGTGACAGCAAACAGATGCAGAGCCACAAAATGAGAGCAATGTCTCATCGCTGGAGAGAAGTTCAGACAGTTTAGTATTTCCTGAGCTCCATCCAGTCTAGAAAGCTACACACATGAATATGTGCTCCATATGTCTTGGTGAGAAATAACTGTCAATCAATCTGCGGCACAAATTAAATACATATTTGTTTATCATAGGACGTTACACTGACATTTGTATTAAATGTGCAATGTGTATTAAATGCAATTTTATTATGTCTGAATATTAAAATATATATAGTTCTTTTTTCAATTAGAGTTGCTGAGTTTGCAGCAAGGATTAGTCTGGTTACATGATAGTAATCTATAGCTGTAATACTTAAAGTGGGTGATTAAAGCATAAGGTTTTCAATTTATCTCAGTTAGCACTGGCTACAGTAGATCATCAAAATAGCTTTTATCTACGCCTGAAAACTGAGCACTTGGATCCTTGCTCACAGTAAATCAATGCACTTTTTTTTCTGTCACAACAGCAGCACTGTACGTCTCAGCTGCCAATGCACAGTGGCCATCAGCCAAGAAGAGCTTGGATAATGAGAGGCAAACTAGTGTGAGGATTTCTGCAAGGCTGTGAAGACAATCTCATTTTCAGAATGCAAATAATGGACTAACTTTCTTTCCATCTTTGTGTACCTCTGATTTCTCAGACAACTTTAAACCTCCACGCTACAGGCTTGATTGATTCAGCTGTGGTTTAAAGCTTACAGTTGTCTGTTTATGAGTGTAATGGTGTAATTATAATGTAGACACACGTAGAAGGTCACAGTAAACCCAAAAGGGGGAGTAAAATGAGAGTGAGTTCATTATTGTACTTATTATAAAATAGTTGACTAAACCCATGCAATATTATCTGTATAATCTCTGTTTGGGTGAATGACAAACTAAAATCCTAAGAGCTGGTTTAGAAGCTGCAGTGTTGATATGCTCAACTCTGATAGATTTTTCTGCAGTCTGGAGAGCCGGCTGCCAATTCGTTCCACCTCACAGAACCAACTATTAGTTTCTGCTGGAATGAACCAAGTGTATTGTTTATTGTGAGCCATGTGCTGCAAAAAATAATGATCTGAAACAGTGGTTTGACTTGTTAGTTAATCAATTGCATTTCAGAATTATGAGTTAGATGTAGATTGCAAAATAAATTTCCCCCGAAGATCAACTTACATTAACCCTTAAAAAAAATGTAAATAAATAAAGGGAGATGGTGCTTTACTATAGCTTGTCATTCTACTGCTCCCTTTAGACACATTCATGAAATTTTTTTGAGTGTTGTCCAGAGACAGTGTACATGTTCACCTTGTGTGAGACAGTAGTGTCCACTGTCTTTAAATCTTGTCTAGACAGACTGTCAGCCAATCATCTCAAACAGTATTGTTTGTCTAAGAAAGGTTTAAAAACTTCAAGGTTAAATGCCTGAGCAGTCTCAGCATCTATGCACCAGTGAGAAAAGTCAGTGGGGGCAAGCTCCCTTTACTTTACTCCCCATACTGCAAAGAGACATGCTGCAGTGCAGTGGTACCTAGTGGTACTGGTGATGGATCTCTATGCACAGACTTAGGCTGCACAGACATATTGGTATACTGATTTCACAATATTTGTAGATTATGTTGGCTATACTCTATAATAAAGGCTGCATGTTTATGAAGGATGGCTATAATAAGCTGCTGTGGTATAAACCACTCTGCTATGCATAGCTCTGTTTTTCAAACTAAATAAACAGACTGAAAAGAACAATACACTGAGCTTTTTTACTCTGCAAAAATAAAACAGCAAATGTCTGTGATTCAAGCCTGAAGCCAAATGTTACTCCACATGTGATCTACCTCATATAAAAATGCCTCCAGTTTTCATTTAGCTAAAAAGTCTTTTATCCAGTTTTTGTATATTTGCTTTGGCTGCATCTGAGTACCAATCCCACTTAATGAAGTCTGCTCCTTTGAGACATCCTGGAAAAAATCAAGACAATTCTTGTGAATTATAGTTTAAATTCACTGTTTTGTGGTTTTCTGCATTTTCCCAGTATTGAAACAGTATAGGTGAAGCTGTACATATAGCACTATGAGTTGGTTTATTGGATGACCAAACAATAAATCCATGCAAACAAAACTGTGCAAATTGCATTTCTTTCAGAACAGTTTCTTCAATGACTCTATGTCATTTTGTAGAAGTTAGATAAAAAATGATCATGTTACAGAGGCATGAACTAGATTATCTAATAAGTCCTGGCTGTATTTTATTTGTGGCAAGAAGGGGAAACATTATTTTGATAAAACTGCCCTTTAACTTTGCTGTTTTGTTATTTTATATATTGAGTTTGTTTTTAATTGCTGCTGATTAAAACTATTGCAAGTTTTACAAAGACTCGAGCAATATTTTGAAAGTTGTATTTCAAAATAACCCTCACAAATATGAGTTACTGGCGTCCTTGCGGCGTTGTATGTATGCAGTGTTAGAGAACAAAAGCTAAATGCAGCTAATACACTAGCATTTCAGTTTTTCAGCACTTAGATCCTTTTTGTGACCTCTGTCAGAGACATGGGAGTAGCTTTGACTTGATTAAGGACCTGCAGCTCACGGCGAGAGAAGTGTCGAAAAGACTTTGGAGAGGAACATAAACCCCCCACTTCCCTCTCACTTTACACATAAATACATCCAAGCTCACCACCACCTTTCGCGGAATTGGAAAGGAGGCGCACACCTCAATATTTACACGAGACACAAACACACACAGTCAGACAACGTAGTCATAGCGGCAGGGGGCGCAGCAGAGGGCGCATTCTGTGGGTTGTGTCAGTTTCCAGCTTTCTGTCATTCAGTGGCTTTGTGCGTAAAAGTAGAACCACCGGAGTCACCGTGATGATTAGAGTCTGGAGTTTACACTCTGCCTGGATTTGTTTCACAACTCTGGTACGGATTAACTGATTTACATGGCTCAGCAGCAGGTTTCTAGAGGGAAGCCCTGCATTTCTACCTGGATTAATGTTTCGATCATGAGGATTGCGCGTTGATAGGACCTACTACTTAGAGCTTACAGTGAGGCAGCAAATAACTTCACCATACACGCGTCAGTAACTAAAAGTACAGGTAGGTGGAGATGATGCTATAGGCCTTTCTGTCATACTGTTATCATTTCTTGTTATTTTTCTTTAACTATAATAAATGAATCCTCACAGCAAGTAAAGTGAATGTGTATTACGGGAAGTGGCGTCCTGCGTTCTGAGGGAAGAATCGCAGTAATTAATCAAACGTTACTGTCTGCTGGGCGACCTTCAAAAAGCATTATTCTATCCAAAAGTGTGCTCTGAGGTTAAACTCTATGATATTCAGCACAACTAATTATCTACCACCCCCATTCACCTTTCAGTGTTTTCCCGGTGTTTGCTAAGTGGCAGTTCTCAGGTCTTTTTGACCATTTCATTTGTGTCAATAAAATTCATGTAGGAAATGTGCAAAGAAGGCCTAGGTTATAGGGTAAGGGGTGACAGGTGAAAGCTTTTCTCTGACCGCAACTCAAACCTGCTGTCAGCGGTGATGCAGTTTTTAGATTCCAGAAGTTAAGAGGTCATCACAGGGTCAGGTGGGTAAAAGTCTTTTTCAAATGGATTCTAGAGTGAAGTGGTAGGAAAAAAAGGTACCAGTTTTGATAGAATCAACGTTTCCTTTGAATATATGCCAAGCTAAAAAGGTAAACTGAGTCTGTTCTGTAGATGGACCGTGATTAGACAGAATCCAACTCTCTGAAGCTTCTGGACTGTAGCCTCACATCAGAGCTGAAAATGTCACCACCACTCAGGTGCATGCTAATGTCAACTTCTCTTTTTACATTTAAGTGTACAGCTTTAAGAAACCAGGAAGTATGAAAGGAGGCTGTGTCTGGACTGTCAGGTAAATTAATATCGGGTGCATTCATTTGTGGTTAACCTCAGATTTATGTCTGTGTTCCCATTTTTTGTGAGACTGACTCATTCTCTGATTATCCTTAATAGAAGCTGAATAACAGTATGTCAGTATTTCAGCAATATTTCAATAGTAGTATCAGCAAATCATAATTTATATTGTAAGCCAATAAACCAGTTGGAGTAAAGCTGTAAATATGACCAGTAATTACTTCTCTCTGGTTCGTACAGACTGTCTATGCTGCTATTGTTACTTTGGTCAGATCCCCTGGGCAGCCAGCACACAACAGACCACAGAAAGGTGAGCATGGGAGATGGAGCTACTAGAAAAAATATGTCAGTGTTCTAACATGTGTGATTTTCTTGATGTCCTAATTCTCATGATGGTAGACCTCCATCAAATGTTTCCTGGAATTTTTCTTTTTGGTGTTTTATCTTTTAGTCTAATTGCTTGGTTGGCAAAAGAGACAGGAATGCTCATCTCCAAAGATGGCATGCATGATTGTTTCTCACCAGCACAGCCAAATGCCACCCAAAACAGTGAATAAGAGTATTCCCAGGGGTAACCTGACCACGGTGATAATCTGTACTTGTAGAGACGGAAAGTGAAAACATCTGTCGGCCTTAGCCAAACAAAGAGGGCTGATTTTAGTTGTCAGCAATCCACCTCTTGACCCCCGCAGAGACACAAGTAATGGAAGATGGCTGACCAACAGAACTGTCAGAAAGAAGGGTGTGTGTGTGAATTGCCTCCGTGTGTTTCTACTGGGGGTCCAGCTGTGTGACCTTTGGGTGACCCAGAGATGACAGTGGCTTTGGGTTACAAAAGCCGAAGCTGCAGAAGAGGCGGAGGGGTGGTCCAGGGCTTCCCTGAATAGCTGCACAGGCTGACTGACAGCAGAAGAAGCTCCCTGCCAACTCTCCCTACTGCTTTTGTATTCTCTTTCCATCCACTAAAAGTCAAAGGCAGCTGAGCTTTTACTACAGCCATGTGTTTGCCCAGAGAGGTTGTTGTGAAAGGCGACAAAGCACTCCTTAAAGACAGGATTTCCACGCAACTTTGCGGATAAAGGCAGCTTGGAAAAGGACTCCTGCTGGCAAATTCCTCAAACAGAGAGCAGAGAGTGATCGCTGCTAATATGTCCCTGGCACAGCGACACAGTCAATAGTGAGAAGCACAGGTAGCCAATAGGGGATAGACCACAAACAGACACCCACTAATCAGCCAAATCAGGCCTTTATTCCCATGAACAGAGGTCTATTTCATGAGCACTGGTGGGGGGCAGAGAGGCAGGATAGTTGTGGTGATGTGATGAGGTCCCCAATGTAAGCTTTTATTCAAAGCCATTATCTTTAAAGATTAAAGTCTTGCTGAGGCTTTCCACAAATCTTTGACATTCAGATCTTGCAGCACTTTTCCACTTCTTTGCACTTTGTGATGCCCTTAATTGATGTTTCATTTCCATGCAGGTTCCTCAGAGGGCAGAGCACCACGAGGAAGTTAGGGCAGAGCATGGAGAAATTCAGGGATCTTGGGGTGTCTGGGGTCCCTGGTCAGCTTGCTCCCGGACCTGTGGAAAAGGAGTACAAGAACAGACTAGGCCGTGCCTACCCGTGTACGCTCCATCTCAGTACCCCTCCAGAGGGGCTGGTGTTCAGCTTCATCAACCAGGCCATATAGTTTCAGCTCTTCGGCCTACAGTTCCTCTGCACCGCAGCACAGTCAGACCCTACAACAGCAGCAGCCGTGGAGAGCTGAGAAAAGAGAAGGAGAACAGGCCTGGTGGGCGCAGGTACACACTTTTAGCAGATATTATTCTGCACAGAGACATGGGATTAATTGTAGGATTGCCAGCACAATAGCAATCTGACCCAACAGACAGGGGCATTGCAAATGAAAAGAAGTTGGGCCCAGCAATTACTGCTTTTAGTCCATATAGCGTGTCATGGTGGAAGATGACTAATGTAGCATCTGGCACAGGTTGAGCTATCCTGACAAAAAGTACAATGTCAAAAATTATTTTCCATATTTCATCTTGCTTGACTGTGACATACTCTGTGACACTGATGGTTAGACACACTATGTAAATATGTTGGAGTGAATGAGGATGTTTTACTTAATTTCAGTCAACTCATAACTGTTTGGCAACGTTATCGGTCAAGACCATTATACGAAATGAACATCATCCTTTCCCCTCTGTGTCTTCTGTATACAACCTCCCCTACCCCCTTTTCCACAACCACACACTAGTTAAAAGGGCAGTCTGCTATGACTTATGACCAGGTTACTGTCAGAATTCATGACCCTGCGACTACTTAAACTACTAAACTTTTTATCTGAAAATTACAAAATGTTTAACATTTGAACAAATATTGCAATTCATATTTCTATATCTATGCATTTTATGCGACTATGTTGATGTGTTATAAGGCACAATGAGCCTTTTTTAAATAAAAGTATTTCAGCTTCTGTGCTTTTTCAGTGAGTCATGTATGGCTGTGCTGCATGCTGAGCAGCGCAGCCTAAAAGTGACTGTTTGGAGCCATCATTGTGGGCACATCTGACTGCCCTGCAGTGGAAACTAGTCTTTTATGGTTGGAATCAAAAGCCCGGCTTGTGCTTGGCAGCTTTGTGACCTCCTTCCTGTTGTGGTTGCCTTTAAACAAATAGCACTGACAGCTGAGTAATGGGGGGTTGTTTGAGTTGGAATCGAAGGAGCCAAATAACAACAAAAGCTCCCAGAATTCTGCCCATGAGATCCTGGTGCATCACAAAAGTTGTAGTTCAGAAGACGGGCCTTGACATTTTCTTCAATAAAAGATGGCATTTCGCTAAACCTAAACCTTTCCAATAAAAAAAGATATTGATTCAAGTTTAAAACATTGTCGGTAGAAATACAGTAGCAGACTGGATTCAGTTCTGTGGTATTCGATAGGGACATGTGTAGCCTAGAGATGAAGTGATAACTACACTTGCACACTAAGTGTTAATATGTTTGTGTTTTCAGGAGGGTAACAAACATTATCCCAGGGAAGTATGGCTATGGAAGGGCGCCCTATGTTACTTCACTGCAGACGGATACAGGCCAGGGCTCTAAGATCCCTCGCCCACACAGACACAGACGCTCTGCTGCAGCTAATTCCCACCACCCCACAGCTAGAGGCCATGGTAGCCACAGGTTAAACAACCCTAATGCTTCCAGCAATCTCCATCTCTACAGCAGACCCGACATTAATGCCAGGACACAGCATCCCAGAAATAACCAAGTCTGGGCTCCCCTTTACCAGCCTAGTTCAGCCAACAAGGCTGAGGTCCAACAGGAGCACCATACAGGCAGCCACATGTCCAATCCTAAGCAGCATCAAGTGAGACCTTACAACCCTCTGTCTTCTTCCTTCTGTGCTGGGGAGCATGCTCGCTACAGGATCTGCAACAGTAATGTATGCAAGTCTGCGTTTTGTTTGTATTCTCAGACTGGTTTGTTAGTAATCTGGATTTCATTATTTTTAATGCTCCTTTTGTTTGTGTGTGCAAAGGAAAAGCTAGCATTCAAATTATAAACCATTAGTTTTAACTTTGAAGCCCTATACTGTTTAGACATGTAGTAGATGTGTCCTCTACTACCATAACAGTTTAATTTGGATAATTAGACCTGGTTCAAATGTGTTTAGAGTTTATTAGTCAAATTGTCAATGACTGAGTTGAAGAATTGAACAAGAACACCTAATATTAATTAGAAACTAGAAAGCCTATGCTATTTATTGCACTGTAGTGGACTCATTAGCTTTGGGTGTGAATAGTTTATACTTTTCCAGAGCCACATGGCCACCGCTCAAACTTGAAACCAATCTTCAAAACCATCTCAGAATCTATTTTTGTAAAGTTTTTGATTGAGATACTGAACTTATGAGTGGATGTTTTATAGCAGAGCTCACCAGAGAGCTGCACTTGTCTGTGTGTTTGAATCAAACATTAAACCTTATTTAAATTACTAGGGAAAAACCCATAATCTTAATAACTCATACAGCACCTTCACGAGTTTAACACCAGCTTAAATGCATGAGTATGTGGATAATCTTCTAGGTTATTGAATTGATTCTGTGCATTAAAATGAATTGAAACAACCTCTGGTTCTGCACATTATCTCTATGTTGTGTGATGACAGATATTCAAGTAAAGTAAAGCAGACCAGTCTTGTTTAGACAAATGATATAATGTATGGAGACTTAAAGGAGGTTGGGTTTCACTCTGGAGCCTTCATATATGCTTGGAATCTAAGTGCTTTTGTTAAAAAGACAGCGCTACAAGTGGAGGAGTGGAAACAGTTAAAACAGTGAAGGCTCACTGTAGCAATCAGTAAATCAGTGGCTACAGAGCGTGACAGTGAGACGCGGTTGTAGTTACAAAGGGATTTACCTGTCGGACTTGGTGTTTTCATGGAAAATAAATGCATGTTTGTATTTCACTGGTCCTTCCACAGGCCTGTCCCCCATCCAGCAGGCACATCCGGGCTGTCCAGTGTTCATCTTACAACAACCAGCCTTTCATGGGCAGACTGTACGAGTGGGAACCTTTTAATGAGGGTAGGTTACATTTATGAGCAGTGTGAGCATACCTAAACTGTATATATGGTTAGGTTCATAATCTGCGGGACAAAGACAAAATTTCTTGTAGTTTTGCCTCTGTACACCACCATAGTTGACAGTCAATCAGACAGTCGATATATGATCAAAATGTAGAGTTTCTGCTTTAATTCAGAGTTGTCACATAACTTTGTATTACCTGTAAGGATTGTATATACAAGCAGTATGACTTTTTTTTCTCTTTAAAATGCAAAACATATAAGCAGGAAACTAATATGTTAGGATTGTACATCCTGACATATTAGTTTTTGTTAGAGACGAGAACGAGATGACTGTCTGTAAGGATTGTATATATTGTTTTTAATACTTGGATGAAAATCCTTTTTAGTCAGTGACCACCTGAGGTCTAGAGCCCATGGACATCATGAAATGCTGTGTTTCCCTTCTGGAGATTCTTTGCCAGGCCTTTTCTGCAGCTGCCCTCAGTTGCTACTTTTTTATATTTCATAACTGAAAAGCATACTCTGTTGGATTGAGATCAGGTGACTGATCCCATTTATTTACCTTGAGAAACTCTTGCAGTATCGACTAATTGACTAGTTGTAAAATAATTTTTCTTAACCATGAAAATAATGGTCATTGTGTTCTTTAGTACGGAGTTGGCCAAAGCACTCCTTCTTTTTAACAATATACCAGATTTTTGATCTGGCTAGTCCTACAGTTTTTTGTTCTCTCTCTGAGGCTTATTTTGCTCTTTCAATCTCATGATGGCACCTTCACTTGCACTGGCATCTGTGTGGGCCTCATATTTAAAATTACAGTGGAATCCTATAAAACACTAATTGAAAACTTTGGATCAATGTCAGACATTATGTTTCCTACATTTGCGATAAAATGAAAAAAGCCTCACCTGGCCACGAAACTGTTTGTTAGTCACCTGTCCAGTTAGTTTTTTAGCCTCTGAAAATGTGTATAAAATTCTTAAACAGTTAATGCAGAGTTTTTGTTAAACCCCTTGAAATAAAGCTCAAAGCTCATGGCTTCATTGTCATATAACTGATTTGATTTTAAAATCTATTGTAGTGGTATATAGAGCCAGAGCTACAAAAATTTAATTAATACTAACTTTATTTTAGAATTAAATGCATATTTACCCCAGAATAACAGATAGCATATAACAAGGACACTGTGTCTCTACTGTCTTTAACTGAGCAAAAAGGGAAAAATTTCCTCACATATGTCAATTTTGCAGTCAGTATTGATTTGGGCTACCGTCACTGTAATGGTCTTGCCCTTGCACTCTCCTAATTTGCAGGTAGATAAAAAATATTCTAATCCCAAGTCTGACTTTTTACTATTAAAAATTTTGAGTTAATGATGCCACTTGATGAAAAGCTGAGAGGCCGCTAACAGTTCATCCTGAGGGCGACATGATTAAGTCAAAAGGCTTGAGCCATGAAATCTCTTGACGGAGACAAACGTTTCAGACTTTGAGACTGACAGTACTCAATTAAGCCCCGTAAAAACTAAAGCAGGGGTTTAGCGCTGTCAATATTAGGATTATTTTTTGCTTCTTTTGTGTATGTATGTCACATACACAAATGACTGAATACCTGTAAAGTGTTGTTGAAGAAGTAATAAATGCTGCTCAAAGTCAGTAGCTTCACCTAACCCCCTGAGGTCATACATTTCACAGTTAACTGCATGTTCACACTGTGTTACACCATCCACAACCTAGACATCTGCATTACTCATACTCTCATAACACATACATATAGGGCCTTGGGGGTGGACACGTTATACAGCATCCACAGGATGGTCTGTGTATTCAAACCCACCTCTGGTGCTGGTGCCCTACCCTCAATTTTAAATGCACTGAGGGTTTTCGGGAGGAGCCTGCTGCTCTCTGGCAGGAAGCACCATGCCCTCCTGTGTTTTAAATGCACTTTAGAACAACACCCAGCAACACTACATATGAGCAGGCGGAGGGAGGTTTGGGGTCTCCACTCACCCCTGTTCTGTGAACCGTCAGGGCTGAGGGGCTGGGAGGAGGTGCTGGCCATTTCTTTTCTTCCCCCCCTTTCTCACCATTTCTTCTCCCCTCTATTTTTTTTCTCTCCCTCTCTTTCTTTCATTTTTTTCTCCCTGTCCTATCCGCCAGTCATGTCTGTCCCGTCTGTAACAACCAAAAATCTAATCAAATAAATACATAATTACAATAAAGGTCAATCATATGGACCAATATGGCAAGGCCATGATGATCCAAATGGTAAAGTAAAGCCGCTTGGCATCTTTCTTGGCCTTCAGACAACAATTCTGATGGCTAAAGATCCAAACGGGACAGGCAAAAAAAAAGAAAAAAAAGCAAACCTAAACCTCAGTTTAAAACACAGAGATGACTAAATACCTGTAAAGTGTTGTTGAAGAAGTAATAAATGCCGCTCAAAGTCAGTAGCTTCACCTAACCCTGAGGTCACACATTTCACAGTTAACTGCATGTTCACACTGTGTTACACCTTCAGCTCCCTGACCCATGACGTATTTAAACTGATGTGTAGCTTGATGTAAGGACTACGGTATGCCACCTGTCCGTAGGCTTACTGATGAATGTTCATACGTACGAACTCATTTAACGTACTCACCTGAAGTATCCAGGCAACAGTCAAAACAACTGACTATCTGTCATTTGTCTGAGCTAATGGAAATACCAGCCTCCAGAGATAATATCCTGTCAAACAGATGTGTATTGTGAGATCTTGTCTGTGTGCTGTGGCCTTAACTGATGGATAAGACAGATATAAAGATTAAATAACCTCAGGTACACATACGAGGTTAAGTCTGGGTCATTTGACACCCATCTTGAGCAGTGCTTAAACATACTCTTGTACATCTGTTTAAGAAATGCCTGGCTTTTGGGCTTGTAGCATATCTAATTGGTAAAGCACACGAATAAAGGAAAGCAGAGGTTAGACTTTGCAGCTTTTATTGCATCAAACATAATCCTTTGTCAATATTAAAGATCTTTTTTTGTAGAACATGTTTAACATTTTAAAGAGAGAGAATTTGTCCTTTTAGTTTTAAAACAGCAGCCAAGGCCAGTCCAGTGCTGTTTTAGTTCTTTTCAGAATACAGCCACAGGGTAAAACTGTAACACTTGTTTTTTTCACAGAACTCTAATGTTTTGGTAAATTATGCGCTTAAACATTATATTGTAATGACCATAACAACTCTTATGATTTAAAAAACTTGGTGAATATGACCATAAAAGGCAAAAACAGTAGTTTAATATGCCTGGTCAGGATGGTGCCTGGAAAGTGTCCAAAAGGATATGTGCTTGAAAAGATTAGCAAATTTAAATATATGATCAAAGTACAGTTACTCCCCATGTATCATATATGCATATGCAATTTATTTCAATGTGGATTCAGTCTTTAAATCCAGCTGGATTTCATGTAGTTACAAAATAATAAATTTAATGGTAAAATCTACGTTTATTTCATTCACACAATGAGAGTGTCAAAACTTTTTACACATATTTAAAGATGGATGTCAGCACATTCATCAGTGATGTGTTGATGTTTTTTTTTAATTTACTTTTGTTTGTGTGTATTGTGAAACCAGCATATTTTCATATCTTGAAATATGTCTTTATATCATGATACCTAAATCTGTTTACAGTTCCTATTGAGCAGCAGTGTGAACTCAACTGCCGGGCCATAGGGTTCAGGTTCTACGTGCGACAATCAGAAAGGGTGATCGACGGGACGCCATGTGGACAGAATGAAACTTCTCTCTGTGTGGCAGGAAAGTGTACGGTAGGCCACACACTGACCCTTTTTCTGACATACTGTAGAAAAGAGAAGGATTTTGTATTATTTATTGTAATGCTACATGCTACATGATTACATCTATTTACAAGATCCTGCAGGGCTTTGCTGAGATGGGCAACATTTTGTTCTAACTGTTCTCACTTGTATCAAACATAATATGTCATCATCAAGCTCTGTATGTTTTCATGCTGCATTTCTGCTGCATCCTTCATGACCTTAGAGTGGAGCTTCACTTTCTCTTCATGACCTCTTTTTTGGGTAAAGCAGCAGTGATTCAAATGTACAGATGGAGTGTAAAACATTTATAATATAAGTAAACCTTTACACACTTAGGCGGTAGCACTGGTGTAAAGATGGCTTTGAGCACCAGAGGGCAGCACAGCATAAGAATCATGACTGTACAGTATCTGTGACGCAAAGCAGCAAAAATAAAAAAATTACCCTACTGGAAACAGGACGCTGTTGCTGTGTGGGCTTATAGTTAGGTATGTATTCATTGTGCTGGATTCACTGTGACTGTTGTTTGATCAGGGTTTAACTCCAAGAAATGTGTTTAAAACACGGCTCAATTGCAATTGGTTGTGCTGACCTTACTCTTTTAACCCAGTGTCTTTCCCATGAACTGTAATCCAGCAACAGTCTTTGCGACATTAAGATTTAATCAAGACAGAAAGCCTTCTGATCTCACATTTCACTGCTAACGCACACTATTCATCGGCATTGTTATCCTTCACATGGGTACTGTTGAATCATCAAAAATAAATTGTTTTGCGTGTCTGAATCAAAAAATGATTAATCTGCAAATGCCCATTTATGTTCCAGTTTCTCATGTTCTGGCTTATTATTTAAAAACTGAAACTCATAAGAAGTTTTTTCGGAAAAGGAGATTTTGTTCTGCATCTCTTTCTCCACTGAGATTTTCTCAGCTGGTCCAGGCTTCTGAACAGGACATCCCCCCAGCTACAAGCCAAGATATAATGTGAAAACATCTGGATAATTTAATTTAATCAGAGTCATGATTGGAATTTCATATTATTGTGGGAATTTATAAATGTTTGCAGTTGACGCTGAAGGTTTTCCCTCCCCTCCTGGAGGTTACAGGACCTTGAAGATATATACCTGACATATGGAATATACATAATCTCTGAAACAAGAGATATCATTGCAACTATATTGATAAAAAAGACCACAGTAGAAAGAGGCAGGGCAGGTAGAGGGGAAAAGCAGCAGATCCAATCATAAGTAGCAACAGCAACAGCATGGAGCAGGAAGGAATCGCGGGGAAGTTGGCTGCTTGAACAGACTGTTTGAAGTGTCAGTCATCATTGGTACCTCTTTGGATCAGCTGATAGTCAGCTGGTTTGATGCACTCTGCTTGACCCACATGATACCCTGTAGCTTGTCAAAATGCTGCAATAACTAATTGATAAAAAAAAAAAAAAACTAACCTAAAAACCTTTAATAATAATGGATTGGATTTATATAGCGCTTTTCTAGGCACCCAAAGCGCTTTACAATACCACTATTCATTCACTCTCACATTCATACACTGGTGGAGGCAGCTACAGTTGTAGCCACAGCTGCCCTGGGGCAGACTGACAGAAGTGAGGCTGCCATATCGCGCCATCGGCCCCTCTGGCTAACACCAGTAGGCAAGTAGGGTAAAGTGTCTTGCCCAAGGACACAATGACCAGGACAGAGAGTCCACGGATCGAACCGGCGACCTTCCGGTTACAGATGCGATTCCCAACCCCCTGAGCCACGGTCGCCCTAAGTAGAATACATTAAAAATCAAATCAGTAGCACAATGTTTGTGAAGTCAAATGTATTAGTGGTGTCAAGTATTTCAATAATAAGACTTTTTCTGATGGAGATTGTATTGATCCCCACAGGATTAGTCCTGCTGACATAAATGTGATCCTCTAACTTGATCCTTGTCTTCTAGAGTCACGTATCATAGCTATTGATATTCAGTGGTTTGCTCAGGATATTAAGTCCCACTCAACATAAAATTTTAAAACTTTCTACTCATCTATTTTTTAACGCGAGCAACAGATCAAAATACCAAATTACTCAGTGATTTAGTTTGCTCTGCTGCTGCTCTGCTTTTAAAAGCCCAGTTGGACCCAGGAGCCAACCAACTACTATGCTCTATAGATGAGCAGAGAGTACTGCAAGGTCAGGTCAAGTATGGAAGTAACATTTCCATACCTGACCAGTAACTGGCCTAAAACCCAGATTGGTGATGATAATAATGATATTTTTATTGCCATTCACTCTATATCTATTTTGGATATCCATGCATTGTTTCCTGTTAAAACGCATTATAATGTATACTATTTCTGGCATTTTATTGGAGAGGAAATGTCAATCGTGCTGGTGTGATAGTGGGTAATGTGTTACCTCTGAAATACATAACATTATTGCCACTTTGCTGAGTTTTTTTGGAGATTGAAGCTGCATGATTGAAAGTTACAACAGGAGCGCTTTAGAGTTAAATACCAGATTGTATTTTACGACATGTTTCATACATTCATTGCTGTTTTCAGTTGCTTCTCCATGGTAATCCACATGGAATAGAAAAACACAAACCTTTTTTTTAAATACTTAATTCTGATAATTACATTAGAAATTTTTGAAAGAGACAAGTAAATGTTATAAGACATAAAAAAAACCCAAATGTTTGGCATAAGTCATTTCTATTTCTTTTCCATATGGGAAGGCCAAAAAGACAACAACAATGACAGGCCAAGATGGATATTATTATTATTTTTTAGCTCATATGGGAAATGTTGGCTCTAACAAATTGAGTTTGGTCTGTGTTTGGATGGTTGTTATAGCACCACTTAAAGCTCTGTGTTTCTTTAATTGCAGTTTTCCGTGTTCTCTTTGTCTCATCAAAATCTGCGTACTTTCTTTTGTCTCAAACAGTTTTCGTTGGCTATTTGCTAGACTAGACTAAATTAATATAAAGTAAACTTAATACTTATTACATTTCTGTGAAGAAAAAGACTCTGACACCAAATTAATCAGAAGATATCTCACACAAAGCTACTGCACAAACTGTTAAACTGTCCCCAAGGCACAGAGAAGTGTTACGGATATACTCCTAGAGCTCTGCCAGAGACTCTGATGCTTCTGTATTTGGATGAGAGCCAAATCATACAATAATTTTTCACCAGTTATTCAAACTTAGTCGATCCAGCAGGTCAGAGCCCGTCTGTACATAGCACATACTACTGTTGTACATTTTTCAACACGTCCAAAGCACATTACCAGAGAAAAAAGGTATTTGTCCAACTGTGTGCTATTCTCGAGAAGGAAAAAATTGTTATGTGTAACGTTTGCTGTTTATAGTTAGTGTTTGTGTATCATGTTTCCAAAGTAAATATTTAAAGCATTCATCATTTTAGCAAATGATACCACAGATGAGAGAGGGGTTCAGAGTGTTTCCTGAAGCACTATAAATACTCTCAAGTCCTGCATTAAAAATGGGTTCATTAAGGGGGAGGCATCGGTAAATATCACTAAAAGTCCAAGGTTCATGCATATTACACCAATGATTAGATCAATAAATTATTGTTAATCGTGAGATAAAGTGAAAGCCGAATATTGTTGTTGTATTTAGTTGAGTTGGAGCAAATGTTTCATACAGGACTGTAGGATCATTTTTATGGATCTTTTAGATAATGTATCAATTTTTTTACTTTTTTAAAAATTAAACTAAATATGAAAAGTGACAAATCTAAAACTATGTTTTCCTTTAAACAAGGGCTCAAACAGTTATCCCATTTTTTTCAGATAACTAATAGATTAATTATTTTTAGTTTAACTCATGTAGTTGTTTAATTTATATCCAATCATTACATTTTATGAATTTTTCTTACTTTTATTGTATAAATAATTGTACTTGTAACTGGAGCTGTTAGATAATTGTCATGCCCTACTAAGTACATTATTTTCCTTTAAATTCTAATAGAATAAAGCTTGATAAGAAGAACACATTTAATTAAATATGATGCTTGATTAAAAGTACTTGCATACGTTGTTGTATATGGATTGTTACTGGATAACTTGGGCAGTTTTATTTTTTTTTTTACAGTATTGATTGACTACCCCAACACGTTCTCTTACACCTGACAAGATAAATTAATATAACATTTCTCAAATGATACATGGTGTTTTATACATCAAGCTCTTCGTTTTGTAGAATGAGGAGCGCAAATTATTGCCTCAGGTGATTTTTTTAAAAATTAATTATTATTAGGCTTATAGTCTATTTTCTGACTGAGTGAACCTTCCCTCTGTTGGAAATTCTCTTTTTAAGCTGTGTGTGAATATGTGTGCATCATTGTGCTGGAACTAGACCATCTCACACATACTGAAAAAGGATCAAAATAACCCCTAGCATTATGCTCAAGGCAACATTATACTGAGCAATCTCTAGGGAGATTACTGCAGCGACTCTGCTGCTGGTAGTTTGATTCCAGTGCAATGTGTTTTATATGTGACCTGTTCAGTAGTGCATGAGATAGTTGGCAAGATGTAGGGCAATTTAACTGTCAAAATAGCATTTGGGTTATTGTAACGTTAATAACAGTTTCAGTGTAACCTTTACCTACATTTTGATTCATCCAGTTTATGGCTTTTTTGCTTTATCTAAGTCCTCGTGGCCGGCAGGAGGAAAAGGCTGCCCACCCCTGACATGTAACAACAGAGATGAGCGGTCAGGAAGAGCAAGGGAACAAAGTCATGAGTTTAAATCATTGTTACAGTCCCATGTTACAACCACTACCTCACAGTTCTTTAATATCTCTTTAAATCTTGAGCTGTTTTTCTTTTTTTCTTCTTCTTCTTTTTTTTAAAAACAAACCCCACAAACCTTTGCACTAGTGTCTGGACGTAATTTTAGCTGTGGAATTCATATTGGTCTCATTGTGGTTTGCAACCGTGACCACAAGCAAATTTTTGACACTTAATCATAA